GAACTCAATCTGGATTGCAAAAGGCCGCCTTGAAGACGGGGCTTTCTTTTCCCACAGATTTGAGGCACAGACAGACATTGCTTTAAATAGACGTCCAACAGCGATGCCCCTTTAAAATTACCCTTGAGGAGGCGCAGGGCTCCGCATTTCCCATGCTAGGAGCACTTAGACGAGACGCCCATTCAACTCCGCGCCTGTTTCGGTCCTTATGGCAGCTGGGAGGCAGTTGGATCCCACCCACAGCGCCCCAGTATTGGCAAGCTTCTTTCCAGTCAGGGCTTCTCGGTTTAGAGCTGGGCCAGGGCTTTTCCAGCCAGCAACCCGCAAAAGCAGCCTCCGATTCCAGACTGAACCAAACCTTCATCGGACATTTCATGCCTCCACAGCGAGCCTGATTCAAAGAGCCGCTTTGCCCTTTTGAAGAAAAACGATGGCAAAGGGAGCGCTGCTTGACTGCACCCAGCCTTGGGGTAAAATGGCATCTTTTGAGCCAGGCCGGACTGGTCTGGGAAGACCATCCTGAGCTGCAGTCAGAAGACTGGAATGGCGCGAACACGGGGCTTCCACCACCCCTTTCTAGCAGGAATCAGGCCTGGTTTTCTTTGTCATCCCGTCAACATGGAACCTGAGGAAGGGCTCAGAGGCGAAACCTGGCTCACAACTCCATGTTGTTTAGTTGGTCCCGAGAACAAAGGGCAGGCTAATCCGCCAGGTGTTTCCTCCCTTCTTCCTTGACTCCAGCAGAACCACTCCCTTTCGTTTTCCCTCAACGCTTTCCCCAGCACCGATCCGTCCAGGTTACCTGCACCAAATTCATGAGCATACAATGAAGTGCCCCCAAACCCACGGAGGGCTGAGTGTGGGGGGGGGGGGGTGCCGGGGGTGGGAGAGGTGTCTGGGCCAGCGCACCCCTGAAGTGTCTCTCTCTTCCCCACACAGGAAACCAGAGCCTGCAGACTCCGTAAAGCTGCTCCCGTGAGCGCAGCGCCTGGGCTCTTCCTACTCACGCCCGCGTGCTTGGTGGAGTTCTCAGGGGGAGTCTGGCAGCACGAGCCAAGCTGCCCCCAGGCCAGGTTCCGACCTCGCCCCGAGCTGGGGCTGCAGTGCCAGCCCCAAGTCCTCTGAGGGGCCTGCTGTCTCTGCTTCCCCTGCTCCTCAAGCTCTGCTCGGCACAGCGCCCGCCGGCTTGGCTGAGGGGCCGAGGGGCAGTGAGCAAAGGGGCCAGGGCACCCCCGGCTTCTGCTCCTGCTCAACTCCATTTTCTGGGCCAGAGTGAAACACAGAAACAGAGTGAGTCAGGAGGGGACTCCCGGGCCATCTAGCCTGACCCCCAGCAGCAGTGCGAGGAGGGCAAGCAGGTTGCCCCGGGGAAGGCGAGGGGCAACTCCAGGCCTCTTGCCCGTGAGCTGGCCCTGGGCTGCTTGGAGGATGGAGTCTTTCGGAGAAGCCATTGCCAGGAGAGGTGGGGCTTTGGGGCTCCCCAGATGCATGGTTTAAACAGCTGCGAGGTGTGGGGCCGTGGCCCTCACTTCCTTCCTGCAACGGCCCCCCATGAGCCCACCAGGGCCAGCTCTGGATGCCTCGGGAGCTGTGTGGAAATAATCCCGTGGAATCTATTTCTGCACCGAGCAAGAGTCGTCCTCCAAAATGGAAAACTCTAATGACACTTTCCAGTAGCTGCCTCGTCCCCCACAACAGCGTTGCTGCAGTTCTCCTGCGCAAGCAAATGTTATCGTACACAAACGTGCGAATGAACATCGGCGCCAGCCGTCAAAGGACGCGGAGCCAATGCCAGCAGAACGCGGCAGGTGGGCGACGGGAAAGTGGGCGGGGGCAGAACTGAAAACGAAGCACCTGCACATTTCAGCTCGAGGCCCTGGTTGCCAGTCATTAAGCTTTGGGGGAGGTTTCAACCATTTAGGGTGGGGGTGGGGGGGACCTGCCCCAAGCCAGGAAAGCACCAAAAGATGGTTGATGGGGAGGGATCCAGCCCTGAGGCTCAACAGCCCGGCCTGGGGTGGCCACACAGGATCCGGAAGCAGCTTACCAGGGGCTGGCGAGGATGTGGCGATCTGCCGTCCAGCAGATGATGGGATCCAGCAGGGCGAAGGATCCTCACCCGTCGGATTTGGCTCACAGGCCAGCAGCCCATCCTCCGCCCCAGTATTAATCCGGCACATCAGCCGCGTATTAATTCACCTGGCGTCCGAGCAACCCTGAAGGGACATTCCCCGTTGATGTCCGGGGATGGAGTTCAGTATGGTCAAGGAAGTTCAGCAGAAGGCCTAATTAAGCAGTGGAGTTGCGTTTGTCTGGAAGATGGGGGTCTCTCATTTCCCATAGCGCTCTGGAGTGTTGCAGGAGGGGCATTGTGGGAAATGTTGCCCTTAGCAGGCGAAGAGGGTGGGCGGCACTTTTCTGGGCCAGAAACCAGGGTGTGGAACCCCTTTTGGCCCGAGGGCCGAATCCTGTTCTGGAGATGCTCTTGCGGGCCGCGACCCAGGGGTGGGTGTGGCCAAGGGGAAGGGGTGGGGCCTAAAACGAGCAGCAAACTGTAGCTCAAAGCTCTTGCACCCAGCAGCTGAGCCAAGCATCTCAGCCCTGCCAGCTGTGCAAGAGCTGAACCACCACCAAGGACGGTCACAAAAAGGGCAAGAGCCACCAGAAGAGCCATTTCTGCTTGGGGATCCCGGGTCAGGCCAGTTTGGGTCCGCAGACAGAACTCTGCACCCCTGCTAGGTACCCCGAAATCCGGCGCTTGCAAGATCCACTTCGCAGCACATGCAAGTAAGGCTGTTTGCTGGAAACCAGTCCAGAATCCCCCATTTAAGGGCTTGTCGTCATTGCTGCAAAGGCTTGTGGGAACTATTCTCCTTCGGGGGGGGGGGAGCTGCACGGAGCAACGTGCAGCATCTCCGAGGCCCCGTTTTCCGGCGAGTCGCGGACCTCAAACCTATTCCTGTCCATCGGCTGTAAACAAGAGAGTGGCCAGACCGCCTGGGCTGAGACATGCCGGGATAAAAATAACGCGTGGAAATAGGTCCCGCAGCTGCTCTGTGCGCGTCCAAGGATGGAAAGGGTGTGGGGGCAGTTATTTTAAAAACAAAGGCGGGGCCGCCAGCTTGTTCATGGCGCGCCTGACACGTCCCTGTGCCAACCTGCCCAGGTGACCGGATCTGGAGAAGCCACCCGGGGAGAGGCAGTCTGCGCCCTGTGGCGGATTTTGGGGGGTACCATTAACAGTCGGAAAAGCGTCAGTTACTGAGGGCTTTTTATTACACTGTTTACCACCAGAGGGGGGGCTGCATCATGCCTCTTTGGCCGTGGGCACCCAAAGCATCTTCAGCCATCTCTGAGCCGACGTAGCGGTAGGAACCTTCCCGCAAGTTCCAGAAAGTCCATCGGGAATTGCAACCTGGCACCCTCTTGCCTCGCCGTGGAAATAAGGTCCCACCTGCCAGCCAAAGCCAGCTGCAGACCGGGGGGGGGGGGCGCCATCAACAAAACATGTGGGAGAAGAAGGAAGGAGATGCCGTTTGGCAAGACCGCTCCCTGTGCCTCGGCTCCAGATACGGGTCGGGCAGCGCGTGGCGACGCGCCGTTTCCAAACCTTCCTTGAAGGTGCACACAGAATTGGGGGGCAGGGGGTAGCGCCTCCCTGGGCCTTGCAAGCACCTCCTCCATAGCGTGGGTCACTCACCCTCTTTCCCCACTGCACCGTCACCCCTCCAATTTCGGTTCCTGGAGAACGGATACGCGCCGACCGGCTCCCCTGAAGTTCGCCAGAGTAGCAGTGCTCACTTCAGTGACCCACGAAGTACAGGGCATTGGGAAAAGCCACCTTCCGACCGTTTCAAGACGGGCACCACCCTCTCCCCCTCCCCACGGACACGTCTTTATATTCTGTGTTTCTCCAGATGGGCGGCCTGGAGCCAGACCGGTGCAACAGCCACCTCCCCCGTGCGGTTATTTGAGGGTGCCGCACCTCCCTCCCCGCGAGCTCAGAGAACACTCCAGGGCCAGGGATGCCTGCGTCGTATCCCGATGCTCATTCTGAGCCTCAGGAGAAGCATTTCAGCCTTTTGGAATGGCAGGTCCGTGCGTGGCCGAGATCCACTGCATAAAACCCGGGGAAACGCCAAGCAATCCTGGCTGGGGGAACAGAGACAGGACCTTCTGGGGTGCCTGGGACTGGAGGTTCAGCACCCCAACTTATATGCATGGGAAGTACGTCAAACGAGGGGAAAAGAACCATTGTGTTGTCTTCCTAGTTGTGAGTACACAAAGATAACAGCGATCCTAGTTAAGACTAAAGGAGCAGGCGAGGCCGAGGCCATGGCCTTCGCTTGGAGTTCTCTGGCTCCATCCATCGCCCTCAGCCAGTGCTTCAGTTTGCTTCCAGGGCCCCCACATCTGCTCCACTCCAACACCCAGAAATAGTGGCCATCTCCCCCTTGCTCACCCCGTCCCGTATTTCTTGCAGCTGCATCTCTATGCAAAGCCGCAGTGCGTTGAACGCTTCCTTGTGAGCGCCGGGCCGTCGCCGGGAGACTCTCCATTGTCTTCCCCTGCGTGTCGACCAAAAACTGATTTTTAAAAATGTCTCAAGTAGGAATGACCTTTACAGCAGAAGATGACGTTGAAAAGCAAGGCAGGGTTGGGAGAGAATGCCTTGGTTCCTTGGTCGCATCTCAGGGTTGGTTGGCTTGCTTGTCTGTTTTTTAGAAAGTGGAGGGTTGGCTCCTACCCAAGAGTCCGACTGGCGTGGATGAGATAAATGCCGCAACCGAACGAGTAACCAAAATTAAACCGTCCCCTCCCCAAAAGTTCTCTCTTTGTCCTCCTCTTCTTCTCCCTGCTTCCCCCCTCCCTTCCCCCACAAAAATATAAAAAGCAATAAGTTTACAAAAATAGAAAATAATTACAGCAATAGCCAGGAGGAAGATGAAGAGAGGGGAGAGGGAGAGAGAGAGAAAGAGAGAGGGGGGTGGGGGGGAGGGAGGGAGGGGGGGAGGGAAGGAGGGAGAACGGCGGGCCGGTTCATTTGGCTGAGCACTGCAGTATGGTGGGGTTGTTCAACGCGTCCTCCACCAGATGCACTTCCTGGCGGTCGACCACCACGTCTCGGATGCAGCCGACAAAGCCGGTGCTGTAGGCTTTGGGCAGCTTGTGGGCCACGCTGAGCTTCTCCAGGCCGCCTGAGGGGGGAAAGCCGGCAGGCGGGAGCGTGAGTTCGCCCGGCGGATCGGGTTCTCCCACCCACCCATCAGAAACGCGGCCCTGCTGCTCGTGGCGGCTCCCCCCCCACCCCCGACACACGCCTGCGCCGAAGGTGCACGGCAAGCTCCCCGGGGCAAAGACCGGCCCTTCCGTGGCGGTTCCGCGCAGGGCACAGAAGTGGTGGCCCTCTCTCTGGGGCTGACCAAAGGAGAGAGCGCCCAGAGCGGCTTGCAATCGGTCGCCGCACGAGCCAGCCCTGCTTGCAGGTTTGGAGTCTGAAAAAGGCATGGCCAACGAGGAGAACTGGATGGGGAGGGAAGAGGGGGAGACGAAGGACTAGCCCGTCTCGAAACCAGGGACCGAGGACATTTCCCTTTTGTTCCTCTACCCTGCCAAGCCCTTTTCCTTTTGCGTCATGCCTTTTAGGTGGCAAACAGAACAGCCGGGGTGGACCTGCTCCTGCTTCGTGGAAGCTGCTCCCAGAGCCCGTTTTTCTGCGAGGAAATAAACCGATCCGAAATTGCAGCCTTGGGCAATCAGGCCTTCCCCATCCCTTTGCAACCGGCGGCCTGAAGCCCCCATCAAAACAAGCGAGGTGCTGCTTTGCCTCGGGCCGGCCAGGCAGGCCTGGCTTCGCAGCGGCTCCCGGCAGCGAGGGCCGAATGCCCAGTTCCGGGGCTCCAGACCCGGGAGCCGCACTCCACGCCCCAGCCTTCCCCGGCCGGCTGTTCTCCAGATCTGTGGGCTGCAACTCCTGGAATCCCCGCCCAGCACGGCCAAGGAGCGCTCTGCCTGCTTGGGGTCGCAGTGGCTTCGTGCCGAGGGGCAACGCAGCCGCCCTACCTGGTGGCCCCGAGCAGATCCTTGGCCCGGCGAGGCAGAGCGGCGCCGAGCTTGGCTCAGGCAATGTGCGACTCACCTAGCCAAAGGGCGCCGTCCGTGTCCAGCTGGGTCGCTCCGAGCGGGGAGGAGCCCGTGATGGGGGCCTCGTTGCCGACCTGCAGGGACCCTTCCCGGTACACTCTGCCAGGAGGGGGCAAAGGCAGGCAGTCAGCAGGGGTTGTGGCCCCATCCTTATTTCCCCGGGGAAAAGCCCCACTGAACACAGTCAGGCTTACTCCTGAGTAGACCTTTGCAAGATTGCGCTGCAAAGCATGCTTCTGGCTTTGGAAATTCAGTGTACTTTTATGCAAAATTAACAGATGATTAATCAATGAATCAACCCACACGCCTGTGAGTCATCAATGTAAGATTAAGATTTCTAGAATGGGAGGATGGCCCGAGGAAGAAAAACAAGTCAGCAGATCCCTGATGGCTTGTGTGAATGCCGGCACTGGGTTACCTCTGGGATCTGGTTTGGTCCTCCAGACTTGGCCTCTGAAGGAGGGGCGGGAGTCCTTCAGGAGCCCCCCCCCCCCCAGGTGTGGCCCAAATTTCACCCTTCTGACCCTCACTGCTAATTCAGGAGCTGCCTGGTCACACTGCCCTCTGCCCTGGACCGCAGAGTCATCAGCGGAAAGCCCCGGGGTCCCAGCCACCCGACTCTGCCTCCCCGAGATATAAATAAAGATCCACCCAGGTGGCAGAGGCGGGCTGGGCACATGGGGGGCCGGGTGCCAAAGGCAGAGGCATTAGGGACTTTTGCCTGTCCCCATGGTGACCCCTTCCAGACCCAGAGCGGGCAAGTCCCGGCATGAGCTCCCGGGACAGCAGTCTGCGCAGCCTGACTCACCCCAGGCAGAGTTCCCCTCTCCCTGTTTTGACGCCCTGCCAGGTCTGGAGGGCAGAGAGCCACCACACGGGCTCCCGGGGGGAGTCTCTGCTTGCTGAAGCCCCCGTCTGGGGCAGGGCAACAAGAAGAGGCCAGCGGGCAAAGCGGACCGTGCCAGCCAGTCCCCGGTTAATGGCACGGGGCGAAGCCCTGCCGAGCTGGAACCGTCCCTGAAGGCGGACTGGCACGGAGGGACTCATGGAAAGGCCGCCTTTTTCTCTGAAGGACGAACGGAGCAGAGCCAAGAACGGGAGCCGAGGGAGGGGAACAGAGAGCAGAGCTCAACTTTCAGCAGAAAGCACACTGCTCCTTTGGGACACCACGAACCAGCAGCTTTGATTTTACTGCCAAGGTGAAAAAAAAACCCCAAAAGAAACCTCTCTGCTGGTAGAAAGCTAGCCTGTCAGGGAGAAAGGGTCGGGCTGAGCCTCCTTGCTTCTGAGCAAGCTTTGAGACAAACCGGAGCGTTCAAATATGTCTCCCACGTCCCTCGTCCTCAAAAGCACCAGCCACTTTCTAGGGGTGTGCGTTGCCTTCGCTAACTTCTGGATCAACTCCTGTGCAAGCAAGGGGGGGGGGAGCGCAAAGGTCAGGGCCGGAGGCTCAGGACGGGGTGTCGTGCGCGAGGGAAGTGGCACATGGGCATACATCCGCTCTTCTCCCCCGGAGCCTGCCAGGGGATTGTGGGGATGCTGCTTCTCAAGTGCCAAGTGCACTGGAGCCACCGAAGTCCCCCTCCACTGCTCCTTGCTCGAGTCAGACGCCTGGCCCATCTAGCCTGATGCTGCCTGCTCTGACGGGCAGCAGCGCTCCAAGGGTTCAGGCGGGCGTCTTTCCCAGAACCCCCTGGAGCAGCACAGCAAGACCTCTGCCGCTGAGCCGCGGCTGCACCCGGGGGGCTCCTGGGGCCCCTTGGTCCTCGCGCTTTCCTCCGTCCCCACCTGAAGGCTTTGATTTGGATCCACTGGTTCGTGTTGACGGGGACGGTGGAGCGCAGCACCACTGGCTTGGAGCCGAGGTCGTAGGTCATCTGCACGTGGGCATCCACGATCGCCAGGGCGATGTAGTCCGAGCGGTCCAGGCCCTTCCCGCTCCAGAGGAGGAGGCCTTGCGTGGCCTCCGTCCTGATGCTCAGCTCGAAGTGGTTCGACTGCAGGGCCTTCTCGCTGTGTCGAGATGGGAAAACAAGGGCGTCAGTGCAAGCGAGGGCTGGCCTCCCCCTTCGGCACCCCCGGGGTCCTGAGGGATGCGAGGCTGGCGTTTCACCTAGAGATTTGAAAGTCTGCGGGACGAGCACAAGAAGAGGGGCACTGAGGGCAAGAGGGGGCACCCGGAACGTTGGGAAGGGAGAGATTGTTTGCGGCCGAGATCGGCCGTTTGAAAATTTAGGAGAGAGAAGGTTTCCCCTCTGCATTTTCCCATCTGCTCGTCTCCCGTTTTGCCTGCGAGACCGTCCATAGCTAATGCCATCAGCACTTCGCTCTGAGCAGCCTTCTCTCCGGAGTCAGCCACGAAGGTGCAGGCAAGATCAGCACTTCTGTGGGCCTAGATGTGGGCAGACAGAAATGTATTTTGGGGAGTCAGAATTCCCAGATGGCTTACTCAGCGGCCTCCATGGGAAGGGATACGGAGCAGGCTCCAGAAAATTCTGTGGAAAGATGTGGTGGGCTCCCCGTGGGGCGGATGGCCGGGGACCCCAGTGACTCTCCTGCCGCAGAACATCAGGAATCACGGAGGGAAGTGCCCCCCCAGCCCCCTTCCTTTCAAGCTCCGTTCCCAGCCTTGCTCACACCTCCCGGAGAGGAGGCAGAAAGGCAGAAAAGCAGCTGTTGGGACAGACACAGAGAGATACACGTACACCACACACGTCCACACGACAACACCCACGACGACACAGAAAAGGCGTTTCGTCCCCCAGCAGACACGGGACGGCAAGGGGGCGGCCAGTGGCTGTTGGTGAAGTCCACACTCGATGAACCGGAGAGCGGAAGAGGGCAGGGATTCTAACCCGTGTCTTCGTAAGCTAGCAGTGGCCATAACCGATGGGGAATCTCCGTGTTCGGGGGCAAGATGCCCCCGGTCTGAGGTGCTGGAGGCAATCGGGGGCGAAAGAGTTGTCCCTGCAATGGCCTGGGAGCTCTGCAGGTGCCCGCATTTTCAGGTGGCCGAGTGCAGAAGGGAAACAGTTCCTGCACCTCGAATGATTATGTGAAGGGGGGGTGGTTCAGCTACGGATGCACGACAGGGGAAAACACACTTCATTGGAGCTCCGCAGACTCCCGACACATACCTGACCAACTAGATGGTGCCCTTTGCCACTTCTAAAAATTGTGTTTGTGTTGCTCGACTGTGGTTTATTTTCCTGAGAGTTCATTCTCTAGCTTTGTTTGGGCAGTGGGGGAAACGAGTGTCTCAGGGCCTTTTCTCTGTTTTGCTCCTATATTTTATAATATCATCCATCATATAGAACAGTAGTAAACAAACAATTCCCCCTTTTCACCCGTGACCCTTTAATTTCCCAGGGCGCTTTTGTGTGGTGTTTCTTACCATCCACTCAGATTCTACTTGGCTGTTTTTTCCATTTAAGAGGGATGCTTTCTTCGATTTATCTGCTTTGTGAATAGAATTAAGAACCCCTTAATTTGATGAACAATTTGCGGTGGCCCTGGCAGCTGACAGCTTTATTAAGGATGATCAGCTGTATATTGCAGAATTTAATTTTAATTTCTTTAATTGTTTCGCCGGGCCGCTTGGATTAGCTCATTACCACGATCTAGATAGCTGGAGAGAAGCTCCCAGAGGAGGTGACGCCGTTCATCCTGCCGAACAAGGTGTCCCACGCCGTGCCGAGACAGCGGGCGCTTGGACTACCATTAGGATAGGAAGGGGCAGGTCCCAAATGACTGTTTCCGTGATAAGCTATAAGCCTCTTGCCACCTGGCCCTGCTTTTTAGAAATCTAACAGTGAACATCTCGTGGGGAGAGGGAAAGCTCTCCATTCAGAGAAGGGGTGCAAGAACGCTGGCACCGTACAGAGTGCTCGGGTCACAAGCGATGTTACCTGCACAGGTGAGGGCAAGGGTGCCTTGGGCCTCTCTGTGCCCTCACCTGGCAAGGTATAGCTGCCCCAGGTGATGGACTTGGATGTGGAAGAGGCAGAAGGAAACACAGGTAATGAGGTGGGCAGCTGGGGCTCAGCCACCTCTTATTCTTGTATTATTTTTATCATTTTGGCATCAGCAATAGAAATGGGGGGGGGGGTTTCAGGGAAATACAAGAACCTTGTTCCTGTTTGCAGACACACATTTGCGAGTGCAAGTGTGCACTGGTGAGGACATGCATTTGCACGTTTGCACAAGACCCCCTCCCCCAAAAGGAGAAAACCAAAACAAAGGCTGCAGAATCCTGGGAACTCCGAAAAACCTAGCATACTGTGAAATCAGAAAGAATCTGAGTCCACTGCGGGTTTTTCTAACATCCCTAACGCGAAATTCATTACTCCAAAAAAGGTGCACATTCCATCTTTGGAAAGTTCAGAGATGGGAGGTTTCTGCTAGGTTTGGACACGCACGTCCAAATCGAGCGGGTTTCAATTTCGGCCTGGTTTTGGACTCAGTGCCCACAAGAACGAAGGACCTGCGGATGACGTCACCACGGTGAAGCCCTGTTTCCGAGCACGGCCTGGACCACGGGTGGTTGTGATTTTTCAGGCTCTTGGTCATTAAAAAGAAAAGGATGACAATGCAGCGACCATGCAGAAAAGCAAAGCAGAATGCAGAGGGACAAACTCAGGAACAGTGGAGAAGATGGCGGCGGAAGAAACAACATCTGGACATCAGAGACACAGGTGCAGAAGCCTTGTTGAGACTCACCTGATATCCAGAGGATAGTCCGGCGCATCGGGACTTAGAAGCAGGAAGAAAGGGGAGGCATGCAATAAGCGCTCGTGGCAAACAGTCCCCGTGAAATGGGGGCGACCCCAGCCGCTCCCTCTAAACACGGATCTGGGATCTCGTGAATGAGAAACGTCGCGCTGCACCAGGCAACAGAAACAGTGTTTGGGCATCCAGAAAGATCACCCCCTTAAACATCTTTGCACAGCCAAGCCATCGTCCTCGCGGCATAAGTGAGCGTGAGGCAGAGGCCTTCAGCGGCTGAGAGCTCTCTGTGTATCCTGATTCCACCTCCGGAGCGCTCTTTGCAGGGGCAGAGCAGGAAGGAAAAAGAGCCCCCCTTTTTTTGGCGAAAGAAGGCCTCTCCATATACCTTTCTCCCGTGACAAAGTATGTTTGCTCACACAGTCAGATGTGAGCTAGCAGCCCCGCAAAACGACAACAGTCTTGGGTTAGTTGGGATGGGACAAGAGGCTAAATACGAGGGGAAAGCGAGAGAGAGAAGGGTGTTTGCTCTCCCTGCCGCAGGCATGCCGAGGGCTCTCTCTCTCCAAAGCGATGCGAGCGGGAAGCGCTTCAGGAGCGATCCCGGATTCCAAGGAAGGGGGTTACCTGAGAGCCCCCGAGCTGCCTGCTCACACAGAACAATGGTGGTTGTTTCACGGAGAACAACCGTCGGTCAGCCACCTCTGAAGTGACAGTCAGGGTGTCTCATTATGCACACCCTCCAGGCATCCGTTCCTCTTTTCTGCAGCCCAAGAGCGCCTTGCTTTTTCAAGCACATTTCATTTCCAGTGGCACAGCAAACACCAGCCTTTTCCTTCCTCCCCGGTATGGGGCCTGGGGTCGTCCATAGTCATTTTCGCTGCACCCCTAACCCCTGCAAAAGGTGGGTCATGGCTGTCAGGCTGGCTTGCTCAGTGTGATCTTGAGTGATTTCTTTTGTTCCCGAACTCCCCACACACAACCCCCCCGCCGCAAATCTCAAAGAAATGCAAGCTTCAGTGGATTGTCCACATTCTGAAACATTTCTACTGGCTCTTTTGGATCTGGTTCTTCTCTGTGTTGCCCAGAGTTCAGTATTTTGGCTCGATTTCCGCCCTGTGAGCTAGAAATACATCCACAAGCATACCAGGTAAGGCATAACCCGACTTGCTCTTCATTTCCTAGCAGGGCCTCCAAGGGGGAGGGGAGGGCTACCTGTGGCAGGTGCCTTGCCAAAACGCTTTTCCTGCAAGGTGGAGGGAGACACCCATGAGCCCCTGGGAGGCCCATGCAAGGCAGGCCAGCCTCTGTGGGTGCCCTGGGGTGCTGACCGGGTGCTCTCCCTCTACCACGCCAGTTCCTCTGCACATGGAGCACGGTAATGTGGAAATGCGCCACGCGCAGTACATAAACACGGCGGGACATGACCTGGAAGACACCCCGAAAAGAAGGAAAAAGGACTTTGCTCTCCCCAAGTGCCCGCTCTAGAACTGAGCTGTGTGAATGGCAAGTTTTATTTATTTATTTAATTTATTTGGCGTCTTTGTATGCCGTCCCATTGCTTAATGCCTCGGTTCTTCTGAACGGCTCTCCGGAGGAGCAAACCCCTTGAAGAGCAAAGACACTTTACGAGGAGGAAACCACTCCTTGCCAGGAAAACGCATGTCCCTCCCCAGCTGCCTGAGGGCTGCCACTCAGCTCAGAGAGAGAGCAGGCCGGTCCGAAGGGGGTGGCAGAGAACGCCAGCACCCCTGAAAGGAAAGGAAGCGTTTGGGCCGCCTCGCTGCGAGCCCGGACTCCACCACGCCGCTACACATCGCCTGCCCCACCGAATTACTCAAGGCAGGGATGGCTGTTTCCGGAAGCTGGGTCTGCCTGATGAAGGGTGAAAGGAATCTGGGCCGGGCTGCCTGCTCCGCAGCCTCAATGCCCCTGCAGGCTCGGGGCGGGAGGAGAGGAGAAGGTGCATCCGAACGCCCCTTCCGGTTCTGGTTCTGGGGTCGAAGGGGCGCCTGATTCATAGCGACGTGCATGCATCTGTGTTTGGTGAGAGTGTGCACGGGCCGCCTTTCCCTGCCTGCCTGGCAGCCCGATGCTTCGGGAGAGCGCCGTGGGACCGTCTCCCCGCCCACAGAGAGGCCTGGTGAATGGCGGTGAGGACATGTGACATCGGAAGCGGGAAGGAGGATGAGGAGGCGAGAGGAAGGAGATCTACTTACGCTGGGATCTCATTGGTCAGTTGGCTTGAAAACAAAAAGACAAAGACATTCAAGAAACAGAGCGAGGGAAGGGGAGGAGAGGGAGGGAAGGGCGGACAGCAGTGGAAAGAAACATTACCCAGGGGGCCACTGGACAGCAGACATGGGGGAAGCTGACCGGGACCCCCGCAGAGGTGGGACCCCCAGACCGAGCGCACGCAGAGGCAGCCCCGGCCTGCGAGGGCGACAGGGCCAACAAGACGCACACGCTGTTCAGGGGACGAGGGAATGCACACACAGAGACACGGGTGGACAGACACGATGGCTGGGATCGAGGTGGGGGGGTGGGGGGGGCGTCTGCTACTCGCTCCCTCATCTAGCGAGACAAGTTGCCTTCCGCGATTTGCCTGCGTGGCAGGCAGGGCGGTGGGCGCTGCAGCATCCACGGCCTCTGCTGCTGCTCCCCACCACCACCCTCCAGGTCAGGGTGAGAGGCGAGCGAGCCAGAGCGTTGCAACGGGGAAGAGGCAGCGCCCGGCCGGGGGCCCAGGCGGGGCGTGGAGCCTTGGGTGATGCCCCATCAGCTTTACCTTGGCGCTGGCCCCGCGTGTCACCAAGACTTCGGGTCAGGCACAGCGCCAAGGAGCAGCTCGGAGCGGGGCAGAAGAGAAGAGGTTTTTTCATCCGCCAGGCCCTGTGGCCCCCCGACAAGTGCCCAATTAGGTCGGCTATTGCACCAGTCCTGGCTCCCAGCCAGCAGCCAGGTTTCGCAGCCGTGAGTCCTCAGAGCGCAGAATGTGCTGGGAGAGTGGCTTCCAAGTCTCCGGGCCTCGCGGGCAAATATTAAGTCCTGGCTTGAGCCCCCGAGATCTCCAGCCTGAGGGCCGGGCATTACCTCTTGGTGACGGCGTTGTGGTACTCTATGTAGGTCCTGCCGTTGAAGGCGATGGCTTCGGAGTCTCCGGCCGCTTTCTCGATGATGACTAGAAAGAGAGAAGCCGAATCCGGCGGAGGGTTAGGTCCCCTGACGGCCGGTGCTCTCCAGCTCTGCGGACTGGAGGAAGGTGGCCGGCGTGGGGGTTCTCGGGAGACGGGGAAATGCACTGGTGTCCCAGAGCAGTTCAGCAGAGCGCCACGCCTGTGGGGCAGCCGGACCCTAACCCATAACTCCCCCTCTGTGGAGGCCGTGCCAGGCCCATCTGCCCCATGCACAGAGCCCACTTTCTCCACCCAGGCCAAAGCCTCGGTTCTGGTGCAGTGGACGCCTGAGGAAGGGAAGCCCTGTTTGCGATACCTCCAGGGGCCAATACTAGGCCTCACACCCCTCCAGCCCCCAGCCCTCTCTCTGCGTGCTCCACTCCTCTTTGCCCACACTGGGGGGGCTCCGACAGCCCCCGCCAGGGCGCCCCATCCGTGGAGTCCCTACAAGAGGAAGTGCTGTGCAGGCGAACTCCCAGCGTGCGCCGGGGGCTCCGAAAGTCCTTCCTGGCCGGGGGGCCCCAGCGGCCAGCCAGGCCGGGCAGGCCCAGTCCAGAGCCTCCTGCGACTCCTTCAGTGCCCAGGAGCTCCATGTTTCGGTTCGTCACGCGAGGCAGAACCACAGGGTCTTCCCCCGCAGAGCACCGGCACGGGGCCCAACGGCTTTTTGGTTTTCCCAAGTCATGCTGCATCTAACCTGTTACAGTCCCTGCTATCAAGGAGCGGAGCTGGCCACAAATTCCACCGTTTGCGCTCGGTGCATGGCTGGTCTCCCCCGCCTCTTGCGGGGAGCAAGCCTCACCTTTCTCGCAGTGCGCCCCGAAGAAGCCCCTCTGGCACGCGCACTCGTAGCTCTCCAGGCGGGGGCTGCACGTGGCCCCGTTCTGGCACGGGCCGGGCTTCTGCGTGCAGGGGTGGGAGCGGAAGGAGGAGATCTCGATGGCGTTGCGGATGTGCGCCTCCTTCAGGACAGGGATGCCCTTGATGGAGATCTGGGAGGCGGGGAGGGAAAAAGGGGGAAAGAAAAGGGATGCGTCAGCGTCCGTTTCCGCCTACGCTTTGCTTTCCTTGTTGCCTTTGTCACCGGCTTGCAATTTCTCTACATCTTTCTTCGCGTTTGTTCAGAGGAGAGCGAAGAAGAGGGGGCAGGTCTCCCAAACGGGCTTCCGGGGAACAAAACAGAGCTTTTAAACATGTTTCCCTTTAATGGAATGTATGCCTGGTTGTGGCTTTCTTTGTGCACATGGGGACAACATTAAAAACGAAAGAAAGATCATCCAGGGAAAATGGGATCACTTTTGTATGTTTTGCAGATGAGTTCTGAAGACACTTTAGGTGTTTCAGGGACTCCACTGTGAAATGAAGCATTCTTGATACACAAACAAATGTTGCATAAGATAAGGGAAACGCATGGAAAACCTCATCGCAATTGCTTTATCCCATTGGCAACACTACCCACTGATACGGATTGTTGACTCTGTCAATTTCAAATCCTCTTCATTTCTCCTTCTTCCAGTCTTAAAGTTAGATTGTCCTGAATTTTGGGGATCTTTTTTCCAGAGCACATGAAAATTTCTAAGCCCTTCTTTTAGCGTTTCTCCTGTGTTTTTCCTACTGCACACAATTTAACCATTTTCCTGATATTGTACATATTGTACATGTTCAGTGCCTTTTTCTCAAGGATATGCATTTGCAGAATTGATTGGAGAAGGGCACCGCCGAATTCTGAGTGGTGCAAATTTCAAAGTATCACAGAGTTTCATGTGGCCTAAAGGCTCAAAACCCTAAAATCTGCACAAAAGAGGTAGATCTGCACAAAGGACAGACTGTCTCCCTTGCTTTACCTTCTGAATGGCTCCAACAAAGTTGGTGGATAGTGCCGCCGCCCGGGCCAGTTTGCTGAAGTCAGGTGCGCCCCCGACGTAGAGGAGTTCCTTCAAGTTGAGCGATGTGTGAGGCAGCTACAGTGTGGGGTAGGGAGAAGGGAGAAAAAACACTGATTAAAGTGAAGACCCAGTCAGCAACCCCTGTTCCATGGGGCAGAGAAAGAAGCCAAAACCGGAACCAATACAAGCACTGCTAGACAGATACCGTGGGCATTTTGCACGGAATGACAAAGGACGGCTTTAACAAATAAATTAAACCTTCCAAAACAGGTGAGATTTAGAAATTTGGGCCCCCAAAACTTCTTGCTTCTATTACACCATTTATGTTTATTCATGTATGTATATTTGTATACCACTTAGATATAATATCATCCCTAAGTGGTATACAAATCTTTTCCAACCTGGTTTGGTCTAGTGCAAGGCCGAACCTAAGCTCAGATGGCTCTGTCTTTGTACTGCTTCTTGGGCAAGTTACTTATCCTATTTTGTCATCATGCAGGTCACTCACGGGAGCCGTTTTGTGGTTGTGCCCTTGCCGGTTTCTCAGTTTTCCAACTGGGCCCACAAGCCTGAGAATGGCATGCCATTAGGAATTCTCCTTAATCTTTTGCTGCAATTCTCTCCTGCAATTTCCTTCCATTTGATCCCAATCCTGCCTCTGGAGCAAAAGAGAATACCTGCCCCATCTTCTCCAAGAAAGCCCTTCAGATTTTTGAAGGTCTTCTCCTAATCGTATCTTCTTCAGGGTAAACACTCCCGGCTCACTCTTTCTCTCGAGCGTTGTTTCCAGACTCGTCCTCCTCTTCTCGACACGCCATGTCTTCTTCTACCAATGGTCTATATTCCTCACCCCACAAAACCGTCAGAGAACTGAGGCCACGCTCCAAGGATCCATAACCAGACTCCAATAAGGTACCTACATTGATCCCCTAAATTCCATACCTCCTGTCTCCGCCCAGTCCTGCAAAGGAAACTTTGAACCGGCTTCTGTCCATGACTAGGAACACTGGCAAAATCTGTCATGTGTTCAGCTGAGTGTGGCTTCCTGTGCATCGAACCCTTGGATTCCGTACTGGGCAGTTTTCCCAAGTCACATGGATTCCTCAGACATACAAACTGGGGGTCATGTTTTCCTTTTGCGTGATTTTACACACAGTTTGTTCTAGAAAATTCTGGAAAATAATCAAACCCAGCCCAAACTGCCTGGGTCCTCTGAGAGATTAGTGCGCGAGATCTGCATATTTTGAGGGCGTTTGGCGCCTTTTTGGGAGTGCGAATTTGTGCAAATGCACACAATATGTTTGCACAAAATCCAGTACTGCCAGTGAATGGGTGTTGGAATGAAAGGCACCGAGCAAGCTACAAAAGGGGTTTGGACAAGGCCCAGACATCCCCACTGGTGACTCTTGGAGCGGCAGAGGCACAGAAAAGGGGTGCTTTCCAATCTCTTACCACCAGATTCCCACAGATGTCGTCCCGAGACAGCGCATCAAAGTCACCTTTAACTGTGCATACGTATATTAAAGAGACTACCTAATGTTCAATGGCATTAAAGATGGAGAATGACTGAACTTCATGGAAATGTGAGACAAAGCATAATTGCAGGAATTAATGAGCCCTTTAAAGAAGAAAGAGGAAGCGTCTATTCTAACAAAACCGAAACCAACAGGTGATTGTTTTAAGATGGAAAGAGCAGGTGGGTGGCAGAGATGGTAAATTACTGGCATTTGGATGGAGGGATAGACAGACAGAGGAACTGCACCAGAGATGGAAACAAGATGGAGACTTTTATACTTATCTTTACCTTACGGGATTTCTGAAATCCAGACAGCAGGGAGAAGGAAAAGGAGGAAAGACGCATGAGAATCGAAAAGGAGAATGGGGGGGGGGGGGGGGGGAGAGAGAGAGAGATCAGTGAAATAACATCACACAGAGTATTGCAAAGCATGAACTTCGACCCACCCCCTTGTTAGTGGGCAACCGAGAAATAAAATGCACAGAATGGAGCAGTGGGGGGGGGGTCCAGAGGGAGGGGGGCAGCTCTGCTAGACTCGAGGTGGCTCCTTTAAAAAGGAAACGTCAAAGCTTGGAAGAGAAGAAAAAGGAGCATATGTAGAGATCAGACACGAGCCACAAGCATCTCCGATTCTCTTTGTAGTGCCTTTTGTCATCCGTCCTCCCCCTTTGTGAGATGTGTGTCTCCTTCCCTATCTTAAAAGGGGGAAAGAAACCGCTGCGTCTAAGATCGCGGACCCAATTGGAGATGTGGGGGTCGAAAGCTTGAAAGTGGAGAAGGGCATGACTTGGAGGGTTTTGTAGCTTCATTTAAAAAAAGCTCTTTTCCTTCAATCTGCGGGGAAAGCTTTCTAGAGCATCAAATGTGCCAAGGATCCCGCACATGTTGCAGAGGGTTTTGGAAGCTTTTTGGGCCTGTGCTCTGTCGGCCGGGGGAACCTTGGTGTGGGCAGGGCGGGCGGGGACAAGTGGCGCTGGGCCCATCAAACAGGGAAGGAAAACGTAGAAATGAGGCCGGTGCTGAAAAGGACAGCTCCAATTCTTGTAGGACTGGAGCGCCGCCCCTATTTGGAAAGCACAAAGGGTTTGTCGCTTTCTTACTTAGGGGAAATGCATAACACTGAGCAGCAGTAAGTGTTTTTATACAGTTTTGCATGCCCGGCACAGTCCAGAATCCCAGCTGTCCTTCTTGAAGGATAATGGACTGGGGAGAAGGCGCAGGCACCATGTTGAGAGATCACACGTTTCCAGTCCCTTAGGCTCGAGTCCTCCTAGAAGCCCCCAAGGCCAGCTCCCCTGGCTCTGGGGCAGGTCACCTTGCTGCCCTGGTATTCTAAGCTCTGCAGTCCCAGAGGTGCCACCCCCCCGCCCCCGGCAGCCCCTTCCGGCTTCATCACAGCCCGAGCCATCCAAAGGGAAAAGGCCCCCGTTCACAGGGAAGGTGAGGCCGGACAATCTCAAAAAAGCCAAACCGTACGAGGCTGCTGCTCGTTCAGAGAGAGGAAGAAGCCACCGAACTGCGTCTGCTCACGGGGCCGTATTTGCGGCATCGCTGCCCACTCACCGGGGACTCCCCCATGATCCGTTCGCCGTGATTGATCCTCATCACCCCTTTGCGGGCGTTCCTCTCCAGCAAGACGCTTGTCCACGTGTTCAGTGCGATGGGTTCTTTGCTCCTGGGAAGGACAGGGAAAATGTAGGGCAGAGAGATGGACAGGAGGGAGGGAGGACGGACGGACGGACGGAGGGGTTCTCTACGCAACTGGACCGAGGTGGCCACCTTATCCAATTTACTGGAAGGTAAGATGGGCGGATTGTATTGGGTGCGCGTCTTCTGTGTCTTGCAGGTGCGTGCATCTTTCACGCTGCTGACCTCTCCCTCACAGACCTGCATTTTCGCGCCAGACCTGTGCTCCACTCACGCCAGTTCACAGCCACACTGACTGGCACTGGTCACGGGCATCCGTGTGAATGGCTGCTAATGGGATTCAGTGGGGGTCTCCCCCGAAAGCAAAATCTTGCTGTGCAAATCCGCACGGTCTCCGTGGGGGGGGGGGGGATCAGGCTGCTGCAGACCCTGCAGGTTGGGTTCCTCGAAATCCACATTCAACTGAATACATGGTGCGTGACTCCAAGGGAATGACCCCCCCCCCAACTAGCAGTGGGGCTTTTTAATGTAAACCCGTACAAAGACCCTCGCTCATGGGAGAGCTTCAGTCCTGGGTGTTATATAAAGGGAATGAAAGAGCGAGGGGATGAATGAATGGCTTGGGGGATGAGTCCTCGGTGGAGCCTCCGTCTCCCAGCTCCACAGAAGTCCCTTTCTACACAAGGAGGGGAGGATATGCACACTCTCTTGTCAGCTTTTCGAGGGTGGTGCCCCTGGCAGCCCACCTTAGCTCCATGCTGAGACAACTTCCTCCTATGGGTCTAGCAAGAGGGAGTTCCAGCCCGCAAGACCTTCTGGGAGCTCTCCAAGGTCCTGCTTTCTTCCCGCCTCCACTTGCCACCTCCAGATCCAAGCGTGGGCCACCGAAACTCATCAAGGACCCCCCTGTGTTACAGCCAGTGCAGGAGAGAGCAGATCTTACTTGATTACAGCGGCTCCTTTGCCCAGGTCGTATCTGAACTCCAGATAGCCATCGTGCAGGGCCAGGGAGATGAAATCCCCTTTGCCGTCTGTCTTCTGCCCGTTGTAGAAGATGGTGCCACTTGGGTTCTTTGCCAGGAACACGACTTCCATGGTCATCTTGTCCCTAAAGGAGTGCAGAGCCAGAGCCTCAACTTTCAGATCATACTCCCGGAGCAAAACAAAGAAGGACCCCTACATATGGCACTCCACACACTCCCCTCCATGGTCCTAACAAGATCCCAAGGAAATCATGGGGGATGAAGCCGCTCAGGGCTCTCAAGAGAGCATTGCAGAAGCATGCTGGTACTCGGGCAGCTGGTTTCCCTGCTCTGAATATTTCAACATGGGACTTGCTTGACTAGAGCGGTGGTGTCTTGGCTTTCAATGAATGCCACCCTTTCTCCTTTGCTGCCTCTGATGCCTGGAATTCCCCCTGGAAAACTCACCGGAGGGAATTCCAAGGTCTCCAGTTCCCATCTCTTTCTAAGGCAAACTATCATGAGCTGATCCAATAGCTAAAGCAGTAGATTATAATAATAATTACTGCCATTTTTATTAATATTCATCATCGTCAAAATCAATACTTAATCATTGGTTACTATTATCTAATAAATATATTTCATAATTGTATACACCACTGTCCGGCCCCCGAGCAGCCCCTGCCACCCCTCCGATTCCTGCCTGACACCGCTCAGCGGAGCCGGCGCACTGGCCCGGCTCGGAGAAGGCACTTCGTATGGCAGGCCCCATTAAGTTGAATCAACTCTGTGCCACTGAAAGACAGAGGAGGAGAGGAGGACGAAACGGCAGCTTACTGCAGGTCGGGCACAAAAGTCTGCAGACCGTTCAGTTCCAGGTAGGAGAATCCGTTAAACTCCGGTAAGAAGGGAACCGTCTGGTCCAGCTCTGTGACTGGAGGAGAGAGGAGAGTGAGGACTTGTTAGCACGAGTGGCCCAAGAGGAACGACGGAGACAAAGGAAACAGGGAAATACCTGCTCGCACTTTGATCTCGACTGCACGCTTTCCGGTCAACCCGATTTGGGTCGCATTCACATTGCATGACTTACTAATCCCTATAACGGGATGCTTCTGCAAAAGGGGGCGAAACCCCTCCCCTCGCCTGCATCGTTGCTCGGGGACATTCCTCCTCCCCCTCCCTTCCGCGGATCCCGGCTTACCCGACTCGCAGAACTCTCCCTCCCGTCCCATGGGGCATTCGCACTTGGCGCCCCCTTCTGGCAGCACCAGGCAGGTGGCGGAGATGTGGCAGGGGCTGGGGTCGCAGGGGTTCCTCTCGTCGGCGCAGGTTGGCCCTGAGGGAGAGGCGGGAGACTCGCTCAGCCCCTAGCCTGCAGCTTTATTCCCACTGCATCGCATTTAATCCAGAGGTGGGGGGGGGTACCGTCGGCAAGGGGCTCAGACGGGTGACGTTCTGCCTGCCTGGGACGGGGTGCCCTCCCCCTGAAGGGAGGGTGCTTGGGGGGCTCCTGAATTATCCCAGGAACCCCAGGTGGCTCCGGTGGCCAGGAGCCCCTTCTGTCAGCTTAAGCCGCTAGATCAGCCGCAGCTGCATCTGGACAGACGGGACCGGGCGAGGGCTTATCCATGCAGGGCCCGCCTCTCGCCTGGATCGCTGCATCGCTGCCACCCCCCCAGGGAACCGTGTGGCTAATGGAGAAGGTTAGAAACCTGACAAAGAAATAATAAAATAGCAAAAATAATAAATTTGTTTCTGCATCGGTTCTCATCGGCTCCCCTGGACTTCCTTTCGGTACAAAGTCACCGTCACCATTGCAAAAACCACAACCCCACATGTAGAAATCTAGCGCATCAGGGAAAGGGCTCCAGGTCAGTCTTCCTCCCACCTCTGCAGCCCAGCACGCAAGCAGCAGGGACAGCCAGGGAAAAGATCTGGGCCGGCCTTCTTGCCACTCTTCCACTCCGCATGGAGAAAACTAGCAAGCCGCGGAGCGGGGGGGCGGATGGGCGGAAGGAGGCCGGCCTGCCCCGTGCTCAGCGCCCTGCACAGGGAGAGCTAGCACTTCAGGGGGAGACGCTCTGCCCCCCCCCCCCGCCCGTGCCGCCCGTGGACCCACCTGTGTACCCGTTCAGGCACTCGCAGTGGAACATCTCGGCCTCCTTGGCGCGGCACAGGCCGCCGTGGTGGCAGGGGTTCGGGTGGCAGGGGTTGTGGCCGCACTCGCCCACGCCGCTGCCGTACAGCACGTCGCTGCCCTTCTCCCGCAGGTCGTACATCTGGTTGTTGACGTCCAGCAGGCGGATGCAGCCCTTCAGGCCGGCTGTGACCGAGGTGCGCTCGGCCACCCTGCGAGGGAGGAGGGGAGGGGAGGCGGACGGTCAGGGGGGCTGGCGGGGCACCGCTTCGGGCGCGGAAGGGCTGGGGGCAGCACAGCACAGGCTCTGCCCAAAGAATTCGGCCCCGCACCTCCCCGAAGCTGCCTCCTTCCTCGGCGTGATTAGCAGCCTTTTCCTTATCTAAAGAACTGGCCGCCAACCTGAGGCGACGCAAACTTCGACGCTCGAGCATCGTCTTGATCTGCGACCCAAAGAGCCGTTTTCTGTTTTGGAGCTGAGATTCCCTGCTGTGCTTTGCACTTTTCTTTTGGTCTAACCTGCCTGCCTTCTAGAGTTTCAATGTCCTTCTAACCCCTCTTCCCTCCTCATCTTCTTTCCTTTTGAGTGGTGTCTGTTCGATAGAAAGCCTGTGGGCTGGGACCGTCTTATTTTGGGGGTCTCTGCATAATCTGGGAGCACCCCTCTTGAAATCTTCCATGCTCCTTGCCCCACCAAGCTGCATGACTTGCCGCAGAAGCTTAGAAATCCGCGCTTCTTCGACATTCAAACTCACGGGAGTCCCTGCTGGATTTCTCTGATTTCATTTTACAGGGATAAATGCAGCATAGAAAAGAGAAGAGCGGAAATGGCTGCCCCTGCCGCGCCTCCCCTTCCTGCAGAGGGAGAAGGAGTCCTGCCTCCATCTCCCAAAGGGGTTCCGGAAAACCCCGGGCCAAAGAGGGATTTCTCCCCCAACCAACTACTCACACAGCTATTTGGTCTTCCGGCGCCCCTCCGACAAAGAGGTCGGTGTCGAGGTTCAGCCCGTCTGTGCCGCTTGGGCTCTCACCGTTGACGTGGGGCTCCCCGTCCACGGACAGCATGCCGCTCCTCCGGTTGCGGTTGACCACCAGCTGGTGCCACCTGCCCGGCTCGATGGGCACCCTGCTCGTGACCACACCTGTGCCAGAACCGGTGTTGAACCTGGGGAAGGGCAGAGAACCGGCAGGGCAGCGTGGCTTTCCCCACAGCGGGCGAGGGGGGGAGAAATCGCACGCACGCGTCCTCGAGGAGCCGGGAAGCGCTGGGGACCCTCGGGCACCTGGACGCCAACGGCCCCTTCCTGGGAGCAGCCCCCGTGAGGATAAGGCCGTCTCAGAGGAGCAGCCTCGCGCTCGCATTGACCTCCAGGGTTCAAGAGGCTTGGTGCCCCCCCCCCGAGCCCTCCCAGGGGGTCTGAACCCACCCTGACTGGCCCTCCTTCCCACGTCCAGCTCCGGCAGGAATGCTCCCCGGAGGCAAGGCGTGGCACCCATCTGGCAGGATGAGGCCCAGAATGCCGGAGCTCTCCTGCGCAGGAGGACGGTCAGCAGCTGCCACGAATCAGGGCTCTGCCCAGCCTCTGGGGCAGCAGGGGAAGCAGCCAGTCGTGCTCCGCCGGTGCCACCCCGTCCCCCCCCCCCGCTCTCACACGGGTCCAGGGCTGGGCGGCACCCTGCTCTGTCGCAGGGCCCCCCCCCCCGCCCCCCGGGCCCTGGCTTGCTGCACAACTCAAAGGCGAGGAAGGGGAGGCTGGACAGAGGCGCTCAAATCATGTTGAGAAAGCTGGGGGGGGGGCTTTTTCACCCTCTTCCGTACACTTGAACCCAGGGTCGTCCCATGAAGCTGAAGATGGGAGGCTCAGGACAGACAGAAGGAAGGCCTTCTTCACACACGGCGGCAGTTAAAGGAGGGGATGTGCTGCTGTGGAAAGCGGTGGCGGCTGCCAATACGGATGGCTTTAATGTGGCTGGACAGACCCATGAGGGAGGGGGGCGTCTGTGGCTACTAGCTCTACTGGCCACGGGCTGCCCCCTTCCCCAGAGGCAGCCTGCCTGCAGACACCAGTCGCCAGGAGCTGGGCAGCGGAGGCCTTGCACCCGTCCTGCTGGAGGGATCCCCTGGGCAGCTGCTTTGCCACCGTGGGTACAGAGTGCTGGACCGGATGGAGCCCGGGCCTGATCCTGCAGGGCCGCCCGTATGCTCTTACCCAGCACCTGGAGAGCAGTGGAGAGAGGGGGCGGCCGGCTGCTCTTGGTGCGGCCTGGGGGCATCTGATGGGCCTTCGGGGGGACAGCACAGGGAGGACGGTTCTGGGCCAAAGGCGGCCTCTTTGGGTCCTCGCTGCTCCCGGCCTCTCCTCCGGCCGCAGCCGGCGGGTCCCGAGCGGAGGAAGGGCTCACCTGAGCTCCACGAAGCCGTTCACCAGTGCCAGGGAGATGAAGTCCTTGCCGCGGTTCTGCCCGTTGTACAGCAGCAGCCCGCTGAGGTCGGAGGCCCGGAATTCCACGGCGATGCGCACCGTGTGGTAGGCCTTCATCATTTTGAACGCCAGGTAGGACTTCCCACCGAAGCTGGGGATGAAGTACCTGATGGCTGTCGGGGCAGGCAGAGGGGGAGGGGTGCGGGAGGCAAACACAGATTTGGAGGAGGGGGACAGGAAGACACGCCGGCGTGACTGTGCCGCCCTCTCCCCTTCCTAGTTAAGCAGGAGATTTTGCACGCGGGGTTGCAACTGACAAGCTACGGCGGAAGCCCTTTGCACTTGCAAAACCAGTGGCCCTTCTCGTGCTGAGGAGTCCTCCGTGGGCCCGTGGCGGACCGAGGCTCCTGGGCAGGTGCCCAACCATGCCCACCCATGACGCTGGCCTCAGAACCTGGACCTGCTCCTAGCGCTGGTGGTGCTGCTAGCAGCCATGTGGGTCGGGCACCTTCTCACGGGCTCCAGGCACTTGTCCCTGGACACGGGGAGTTCGGCGGTCCTGCCCCACAGCCCGTCACTAACCTTTCTCGCAGACGGCGCCGCCCTTTCCAGCCGGGCAGCTGCAGGTGAAGTCCTGCCCGTCGTCCTCACAGGTGCCGCCGTGCAGGCAGGGGTGGGAGTCGCAGGGCCGGGCCGGCTTCTTGGTGGCCGGGGGTGGGCGCGGCGGCTTCTTCCGGGCCGTGGTGGCGGGCGCGGAGGTGGCGGGCCGCTTGGTGGTGGCTGCCCCGGAGGCTTTGCCGTTGGGCCTCCCCGGGTGCAGCGCCCGTGGGACGGCCGTGGTGGTGAAGCGGCGGGTGGTGGCGGCAGCGGGAGCCACGGTGGTGGCGGTGCTGGTGGTGGTCGTGGTGGTGAAGAGCTGGGGGATCCAGTCTGGAACGAGCCGAGGGTGGGGGGGCAGGGTTGCAGGGTGGAGAGCAGAGCTGAGCGTGGCTTCGGAAACACCCCGGGCACGTGGCTTTTCGGTGGGGGGGGCGTCTTTTGACGGGATGGCTGTGCCAGTTCTTCTGTGCCTCCTCGCCCCTCTGGCAAAGGAAAGCACTGTGGCGGCCTGGCTGTGGGCCCCACAGAAGAAGGGGCTCTTGACAGCACCCCTGCACCTTGACTTGCTGTGCCCCCCCAGAAGAAGCATTCCGAGAGTGGCTACTCCAGCGTTCCGGGGGGGCCGGGGGCAGGCCAGAAGCCGGAGGGAGAAGGCAGCCAGAGCTAACCTCACCCCACTGCTTCAAGAATCGCTGTGGCCACAGTGGCTGCCCGTGCCCAATTCAAGGTGCTTCTCATGACATATAAGCTCCTACACAGCTTAGGGCCCGGCTACCTGTAGGATCGCCTCCTCCCCTCTAAGCCTGCCTGTTCCTGAGATCGGGCCAGGAGGCCCTTCCGCAAGAGCCGTCCCTCGAAGAGGTGAGAGGGGTGGCAAACAGAGGAAGGGCTTCTCAGGGGCCGCTCCCGGCCTTTGGGACAGTCTCCCGGGGGATGTTTACCTGGCACCGTCTCTGTTATTGTTTCAGTGCAAGGCAAAAACATTCCTTTTCAACGACTTTCAAAATAACTCATCCTTTCCTCCCATTCACTGCTTTGTTAAGTTGTTGTCATTATATGGTCTTAAATTCTGATTGCAACGGATTTTCTTGTTTATTACAGTATGTATCTATAGTTTTCCTATAGGCCACCTTCAGACCTTTGGTAAGAGGCGACAAATCAAATGAAATGATGAAGATAATGATAATAACAACAACAGAAACAACCCCACCAGGGGATCAGTTGTGGGGGGGGGGAGTTTTCCTCAACTGCAGGGCCCTGGAGTGGCACCCCTCAGTCCAGTCCTTTCGGTGCCTCTGGCAGAGATGCACCTGTGGAACTCCTGGCCACAGCAGATTACACCAGGCATCCACATCTCCGGGGTCTGGAATCCTTTGGGCAAGGCAGCCCCCAAAGGTGGGGGGGGGCTTACCCTGGGAGAGGCAGGGCTTGTGATGCCTCTCCCGTCACCTCCGAACTTCTGGGAGGCTCATTGCAAAGCGTGGCTAGCAGAATGCCAGTCCTGCCGCCACCTGAGCTGGCCCACACCTGGCCCTGGGCCCAAAATGCACCTTTAGCCTCTGTGGCCCTTCTGAGGTCAGAGAAGGCACCTCCCCCAGCTGGAAGCAGCGGGGAGAGACGTGAAGCTCGGGCCTCAACAGGAGAGGAAAGGTGCCGCGTGCGAAAACAGCATTCTCTCTCCGAGAGGAAAATGCTCTGAAGGCATGCGGGGAGTTTTTTGGTGGGCTCGTGACGTGTGGTGGCAGGCAGGGACCTCTGGATGGGGAAAAGGAATAGCCGAGGCGGAGAACTGGGGGACAGGAGAGGGATGGGGAAGAGCTGGGTGGGAAAACGCACCGAAGTCCATGAATTTGATGTTCTCCTGCTGGGGTCTCTTCACCAGGATCGTCCTTTTCTTGGAGGCTTTGATCTGCTTCAGGAGGGCCCTCTGGATGTCTCCGGCCGTGTAAGAGGTGGCTGCACGCCCCCCAGAAAGGGCGGAAAGCAGGGAAGGAGGGAGGAAAGGTAACAGCAGTTGGCTTCTTCCCCCTTTGCCTGCCATCCTTGCAAACCGGCTCCTTTCATCCCCCCATTTTCTGCTGGAAGAGAGATCTGACGGCAGCGATGAGCTCCGCTCCAGCCGCAGGTCTCCCCCACTGTTCTGCCATGCTGCTGTGCTTTGCCGAGCAAAAGGCACGTCTGAAGCAGAGGGGTCTCCCCCCACTTTCGTTTCTTCAAAAAAGTCAGCTTTCTTGACGGCCTCCGCCTCAGACGTGGCTCTCGCTATGTGCCCTCTCTGTCTCTCTCTCTCTCTCTCAGTCTGGTGGAATTGCTAGCATTTGCAAAAGGAAATTCTGTGTCCTGAGTTCCCTCCACCGAAACAACTCAGTTCCATGACCCGTAATACGGAATGTAAATTTAGCTCATCCGAGGCGCAGTCCTGGGCACGAAGACCGTCCTGCTGCTCCCGGCACAGCCCAGTCAGTGACAGGTCTGCAAATGCAACCTGACCTTCCCGACCTCAGGACTTCCGGCCTGAGAGCCGTTCCATACAGGGTTCTATTTTAGGTGGAAGCTCTTTCAGCAGGTTACTAAGCCTTCAGGGAGATTTTGCAACCTTGCTGAATTGGGGTGGGGGGGATTTTCAAAACCAGTGCAGTGTTCATGTCCTGGAGTGGAATTCAAGTGGAATTTGAGAGATCCAGGTGAACTTGACTCAGCCATCAAGTTCTGAAGGTGCCATGGGGCCAGTCACTGACTCTATTTTCTTCCTAATCCACCTCACAGGGTCGTTGTGCAGATCAAATGGAGAGGAAAGGGATAATGTAAGCCACCTTGCAGGAAAAAAGGCAGGCTAGGAATGAAATAAAGAGAATCGAAATCTGGGAAGACACCCTTTGGTGGTCAGAGGAAAGAGGGGGAGCTGTGAGAAGGACTTGGGGTTGAAAAACCTTTCCTGAGATGGATCCTGGCATGTGCTTTTCAAAACGATGACACTGCCACATTCGTGGAATTCCATGCCAAATTCCGCCATCTCTGGAATGGAGGAGCGCACACATGTTGCGCTGGCGAAATATCTCCCATGCTCGGGTCAGCGCAAGGCATCTAATAGAATCGGGGCCGGCAATCGCACTCACCTGGGTCGAAATGGGACTCCACGATGACACGCACTGCATTGCTCTGGCCCAAGTCTCGCACCCGGATGCTCTTGAAATCCTTCTTGACGTCAGAGTTACGGAAAAGTTCATCCAGCTGAAGCACGGACAGTAGGACGGTGGCGGGGAGAGAGAGAATGAAGGCAGAAAGATTTAGAGAAGGCCCTGGAGTCCATCCAGCCCCAAAATAAACTTTTGCATTTTAGTAAAAACAACCAAAATACTGCTGGGGAGGTGCAGAATTGATTCTCGTCATGCGGGCTCTGGGAGGCCAGACAAGTCTTTTGAGACAGGCTCCGTTCAAAGCAGTGGTGCAGACTTTCAAAGCCTAGAGGAATTATGACCAGGTTATGGGAAGGACTGACCACTCCAAGGCCCTAAACGCCCTTCCTGTCCAGTTTACCACTCTGCTTCATTGGCTGACCAGCGGTAAGGACAAGACCTTTTCAGTGATACTGAAAATGCACGTTCTCCCCGTAAACTACCGAGTGAAAATGCTCCCTTTGGAGGGATTCGTGCATTTGTGGAAGTGCACATTTGTGGAAACACACATGAATGCCTTTGCACAAAACCCAGTTCTGCCAATGAGCAGATGAGGGGCTGAAGGGCCCCTGGAAATCCATGAAATCAGATGGAATCGATTCCACCGAGCCTGTACATCCTGAGCCAGACAGGCTGCTGTCCCCTGTTCCCATTTCCCAACTTCCCTTGGTTCCACTGCTCATGAGGCATGGGCTAAGGCCTAGGTTAAAGGCGTCTTCAGCTCCCGGTCATGCAACTTTTTGCGTCTGCACGCACCGCACTCTCAATGCTCCGGGCGGTCTCCCCAAAGAGCTCTGATTTGGGATCAGCCATCTCCGGCGTGTAAAACAGCTCCTGGCCTTCCACCTCTTCCAAGATGAGAACTCCCTGGAACACTTTGGTTGCTGTAGGGGGAAGGAGCCCAGCGGGGAAACAAATCCGAGAAGAAATGGCGTTGTTAGTTCAACAGAGAAGGCCGTGTGTGTTTGGGAATGGTCGACAGAAACATTTTTATACATTCCTTTTCATAGCCAAACATTTGAAAAGAGTGTTCAGTCCCCTGGCAGGGAAGGGAAGCGAGAGGATGGCAGAGCATGGGTTGTGCCGGAATCCGTGGTTAGTCTAAATGGTTTGGGGGCAGCGCTATGGAGGGTTAGTATTTTGAGAAGGCGAGGTCAATAGAGCGAAGACCTCAAGGTTTGTAGAACTGGCAGAGTTTACCATCGAGTTTCCTCCAAGTTCCACCGTAGATGGTGGCCTCCCGGACCGGCTGAGTAACAAGAGAAAGATGGTTAGGTAGGTGTAGCAACCAAGTTGTATACAAAGGTTTGGTTTGCTCACATGCAAAGAACGGACATCTAGGACCCCCAGAGGCACAAAGGGAACAAAACAGGAAAGGCAGAGACCACCATTACTTCTAGAGGTGGGCGAACAGGTAATGCTTGCAAACCATCAAGGTTGTGAGCGTGCCTCCCAAAACTGGGTTTGCCTCCTTCGTGTTTCTGAGCATAAGCGCCTCCTTCCCCATAGCCCAAAATGTGCACTTTTTGCCTGTTCAGGACCATACCAACTATGCACATTCTTCAAACAGGCTCGCAAGTTTGGAAAAGTGTAAACATTTTCTCCGATAAAGATGTCTTGCATTTGGGCTTGTGAACAAGGCTTGTCCAAAAATTCTGTGCAGCGGATGAAATTATCCTACATCCCTGATTGTTTCTCCCACAAATGAACAAGGCGCTAAGAATTTGGGAGAAGGAAACCGAGGAAGAGGATAGCTAGTCAGATATGGATACCAGTGTAAGATGTAGCAGAGAAGTCTTGTCATCAACTGATTCTTTAAAAATGTATTACTCCAATGGCATGAACGAGATGCATCATTTACAAGGCCTGCATTTCACGAGACATTCCTCTGCAATGTTAAAGAGAGGACCCCGTCCACAGCAAAGCATATTTAAGAACCTCATATACTTACCAGCTTCATCCTCAACAGGACCGACTTGGATTTCTCAGTTAGACACCCTCACAATCCAACCCTACGGCCTTCTTTCCTACTCTATTCCCAGTGCTGGATAGCATCTCCTTTCCCACTTCTGCTGCCTTCCTTCTATAGCTTGAGTAATTCAAGCTACAGAACTGCTGAACTGGTGTTACTTTTAAGTCATCAATGACAGACCTGGGTTTCTTTTCCCAGTCTTGCTTCCCATTTTTGGTGGAAAAGGAGGAGCCAAGGTGGTTAGAATTTTGAACGGGGGGGGGGGGGATCTGGGTTCGAGCCCCACTTAGCCGTGAAGCTCACTCCCAGTCCAATCTGCCTTGCAGGGTTGTTGTGGGGATAAAATGGAGAAGAGGCAGCGCATGTAAAGGCTGGATACAGATGCAGCGCAATACGACTGTGATTATGGGTCTGCAGCCTGACTGGCTTGAGTTTCGTTCAGAAGCGCGAGAACGCTGCCCGGTCTGCATCAAGCCCTTGGTCCGTAGAGTTTGATGGTGCTGACACTGACTGGCAGCCACCCTCCCAGGCTTCAGGCAGGATCCGTGTCATGGCTACAGCTCGCACTCTCCGGACTGAACCCACAGCCGCCTGCGAGCAGAGCAGAGCCACCCCGCTGCCGTCCTCCCTGCGGCTCCTCAGTCCCCCGTTCCACTCAGCCAGCCACGGTTCTGCAGGCTGCGGGGTCACGGCTTCCGCAGCCATGTTCTAAGCGTGATGATTTTGTGCTCTCCGCCGAGACTGCTCTCCATCCCCCTTCCATGCACACACACACACACAGACGTGTCCCAGCACACTGCCACGAGCCGCCTGAGTGCCTTGGTGGTGAAGCCGATGGCCAAGGTCAAGCTATGCACTGCTTTATATGAATAGCATACAGTTCTCTCTCTCTCTCTGTGTGTGTGTCGCGAGGGTCTCATAATCCAAAGCAGCAGGGGCTGCTGGCTCCAATACTTTGTGGGATCTCTCCGTGGTGCTGAACAGCGGAAAGCTCCAGGCATCCACCCTTCCTTAGAAGACCCGGGCGTCTTCTAATTGAGGGCCAAGTGCCTGCGTCTGACTTAAGGTGAGGGGGATTTCTGTGGTCCAGACTGAGGATGGAAGACAGTGGAGTGGAAGGGTTGGTGGAAGGAGGTCCAAGAAAGGGCTAAGGGCTCCTTACAGCTGACAGGAAGTGGTTTGCGTGTCGTAGCTGGAAAGGGAAATTCGCATGTGCAGCAGGCTGAGTGTAATCGAACTTACCAAGCCACACACTCATCTAGGGGAGGCTCATGCTCTCCACTCAGATTGCATAAGCGGGCCCTCGGAGAGCGCTCTCTAGAAGTTGTGGACCACAATTCCCTTAATCCCCAGCGATTAGCCGTGCTGGCTGAGGATCACTGTAGTTCTGCTGAACTGGAAAAACTGTGGCTGTCAGAGCTCGGACACATTATGAAAGGCGGGACTCTTTGGGGAAGACCAGGATGCTGGGGAAAGCCAAAGAGGAGGAAGGCCAAATACGAGACGGACGGGATCGCTCCGGGAAGGCACAGCCTGGGATTTAGGAGAGCTGAGCGGGGACGACAGAGATAGGGGCTCCTGGAGGGCTTTCGTTCATCGGGTCCCCGTAAGTCGGAGACGGCTTGATGGCACATCACGGAAATGGGAACAGTCCTGCTCTACATGCAGCAAACCTTTTAAAACTAGTTTGAAGCAGATCGTGATGGCCAGGGCTCACCCTACAAAATGCCAGGAGTCGCAGTTTTGAGGAGGAGAGAAGGGCTGGGACATCGTTCACAAAATCATATTCCCCAGAAGCCCAGGGTGGAGAGCCATGACAGTTAAAAGGGCTGGAAATGAATTTCAGGCACAACGGAACTCTGTCCATGGGCAGAGTAACATTGCTCAGCAACTTGCACAAAGATTTCCTCTTTCTTAAAAGGTGCGCGTTTTGCAAAATAATCCCCGGCACTGATGGGACGTTAGGAGGCCACCACACGCATTAAATTCTTTTTTTAAAGAGCTGGGATTCGTAAGTTATGGACTGGCAAAATGCTTTGCTCACGGAGCGACGAGTGGTGCTTACCTGGACAGTTGCTCCCCTCGGTGTCGGCGGCGGGCGTCTTGCCATCCGAGCAGCATCCCAAGGGCGTGTTGTAGCACGTGGCTCTTTCGATCACCGGGGTACCCGTGGCCTTTGCTTCCTCGGTCTGCTCGTCCCCTGCACGGAGACAGGAGGAAGGGGGTGACATGCCGCAGACACTCGGTTTTCGGGATTGTGTTCACAAGGCGCGGATGTGGAAAACTCCGACCGCACATGATCGGGAAGACATTTCTGGCTAGAAGTGGTGGAGACGAGGCACGGGGCCTTCCCAGCGGCTGCACCCAGAGTGTGGGAGGCTGTTCTGGGACCGGTGCGCCAGGCTGCTCCCCGCCTCCATCAAGAGGCTGGTTTTGAGACACGGCTACAAAGAAGTGGGCAGAACACCCCCCACAGCTGCCGTGGCCCCTGCAGGGCTCCTGGGCGCGGGGACGGGCAGCCCCGCCACGCGGAGGGAAGCGCCGTCCTCAGCTGGCTTACCGGTGGCCCTCGCGCCACTGCCTTCCTGGTCTCCGCTGGTGCCCATCTCGGGATCCCCGCTGCCCTCCGCGCTGCCCGATTCGACGTAGGCGGGCTGGCTGGTGGCCGGGACCACGGGAGCTGTGGAAAGGGGGCGCACGGTGGTCTGGCCGACGCCGTGTGTCGTCCAGGCCGTGGTGGCCGGGTGAGGCGGGGCGGTGACCCTCCTCGTGGCCGGGTGGACCGGACGGGAAGCCTTGTCCTCCAAATGCCAGGAGCTGCTCGCCGTCTTGGCCACCTCTGGTGCCTGCGGGGTGGTCCGTGGCGGCGGAGGGAGGAGAAGGGAGTCCAAGGGCCGCGTGGTTGTGGGCGCCGTGGGGGGGTGGCCGGCATGTGTGATGGACTCTGGAGGCAGAGCAAAGGGGGGCAGGGCTCAGAACAGAATGATGGGCCTTTGGTTTGGGAAACAGCATGTGGATTTTTCTTCTTAAAGGCCTGTGAGCCAAATGACTGTTCTGTGCATGTCAATATTCTAGCAGGAGCACAGGGAAAGTGTGTGTGTGTTTGGGGGGGGGGGCAGACTGTGAGATGCAGATTTCCAAAGCATCTTTGGAATTTCAGATGCCGCCCCCCCCCCCTCCCTTCTCCCCACACCAATGTGATTCCAGCTCCAGGTAGGTACAGCAAATTGGCTCACATATTGCACAGAAAAATCAATAACATCTCATCAGGAAACAAAGCTCAGAAGAGTATACATTTGCTTTCTTGTGTGCCAGAACAAATCTGATATCTGACTATCAGTGATGCAGGGGTCAAACCTGGAGGGCATGTCCCCAGAGGTGACGCTTCCTCCGCTCCGCCCCCCACCCTCCCCCCGGCCCACCACATGCCTCCTTCTGTCTGTATCAAATATGAAGGTGCATCAGGAAATTTCAGTGGCAACACCCAGTGTGTGGGCTTCCCAAATTGGCAGGGGCTTTTCCAGATGGAAAAGATGGGCTGCCCAAGAAACCACAGGCTAGGAGCCCCCCCCCCCCCGCAAGACTGACTGGCCATGCCCTGACACCCGAGGCCTGCCAAGAACGCTGGGAGCAGAAGCCCTTCTGAGCCCAAGCCTGGAGTTAGAGGCCCGTGGCCGGCCCGTGGCAAGCGAATGACTGTCCCTGAGCCATAACTGCGAGGAGGAAATCGCACTCCACACGCCACTGGCTGAGGCCTTTGAAGAGATCCCTTCCTGGCACTTGAAAAAGTGCCATTTCTCCTCCGTGGCCAGTCAGTGGTCCACAGTGCCACTGGCCACCAGCAAGCCCTGGAGATCCTCCTTGGCTGTGCCATAGAGGAGGCACCATGGCCGAACTGACGCTGGGGGACTCACCTTGGCACTGGCCGAAATGCTTCACTTCTATGACCTGCCCTTGCCGGCAAGCGATCGTCCTCAGCTGGCACTGGTCACCGTAGGTCACGCCATCGGAGCCACAGACCTGGGATGCGCATGTGCCAGAAGGAAGGAGAGAGAGAGAGAGGAGAGAGGCTAATCAGGAAGGAGGAGAGTGAGGCCATGCCTCCATCCGGGCAGCTGGGGTCAAAAGCCGTGCCCACTGGGATTCTGGGGAAAGCAGTATCTAAGTTCAAGACCCCCCCGCACCCTCCAGAGTATGTATGTCAGGGACTTTGGCCAAAACACTCAGCCTGCCTCCCCATCTGTAAAATGGGAACAACCAAGACTAGGGTAGTCGTAAAGGGGGAAAAGATAGGTAAAATATACAAGAAAGAAATGAATTTTAAAAAACCCACACACAACCAGAAGAGAATAAAGGTAACAGGCAAGTCACCCCATGCAATGTAGTTAGAAATCGCTTTGTGGAATCCACAGCTCCGGAACGTTTGATCTGCTGCCTCCAATCTAGCAACCGGACCAACTGAAGGCACAACCCCAAGGGAAGGGAACGTCTTGCCCATGGAGCTTGCAGATTCCTCTCCAAGCTGGGGCTTGCATCTGAGAATCCCCCATAGTCGTCTCGGATCTGTGCCTCTCTCCCACCCTGCCCTCCGTACGGGCTCTCCTCCCGCCCACCTTGCTCATGTTGGCCTCTGTGCAGAGCGGGGACGGGCACTCGCAGTGCGCAACGCCGTTGACTTCCAGGCACGAAGCCCCGAACTCGCACGCCATCTCGGCGCAGGATGCTGGCGCTGACGGGTCTGAGCGGGAGGGAATACGTGCGGCTTTGGCCTCCGGCAACGGCAGGCTCTCCTTCGTGGGGTCGGGGAGGCCGGGGAGCAACCGCTGCACTGCAGCTCTGGGGCTCCCCACCCAAAGGGAGAGCCCCTCCCTTCCCCATCCGCCTCACCTTTCTCGCAGCCGGACACCCCCAGTTCGCTGCCGTTGGGGCACTGGTTGCACTTCATGCCGGTGATGCCCGTCTTACAGGAACACAAACCAGTCATCTGCTCACAGTCGTCACGGACGGAGCCCACGGAGTCGCAATGGCAAGCTTGGGGGGGACGCAACAGGTGGGGAAGGAACAATTACAACAGGGAAGCGCATCCCCTCTTCTCTGTCCTTTCTTTCTTTCTTTTAACCAAACCACTTGCAACCCATGGGGGCTTCCTTTGCTTTTTCATCCTCAAATAGGCAGAAACCAAAACACAAGAGATTTGGCAGTCCTCAGCCAGGCCTGGATATTCTCCCAACCACTAAAACTGGGGGGACAAGCCATCTTTGTTTCCACTGAACATCAGCCTGGTGTTCCACTCCTTTCCTGGGGTCTTTTGTGATCGATTTGCATGAATGGGGAAATTGCACAAATCAAACACAATCAGACGGGGCAATTGTATGAAAATGTGTCTGCTTTCCAGTGCTGGGCAGCTTCCCACTGCTGTGAGAGTAAAGAATGAAATTGCAAAATGCTTGCTGGATAAAGAGAGGGGCATACTTTGAACACAAACATGTACTGGAGAATTCGCAAACGTTGTTGGAGAACAAGTTTTCCTGCCTGCATCCACATTCGGGGCTGCAAACAGGTGTAGTGCGACTGTTTTGTGAGCCCAAACAAAATTCACAGACATGCAACTAAGAGCTTTCCTACAGGCTAATCTTGACCACAAACACACACACAAAAGTCTGATTTCCCCAAATGCTCTGCTGAGAGAGGAGAGGAAATTACCAAACAAACAGCTTATCGTTTCAAAACTCTCAACAGGGGGAGAAATTTCTCTGGTTCATTTTACACACAGCAGGTTTCTTGAAAGAGGGACAGCTGGTTTTGAAATGGCGGAGGATTCATCAGTCCCCTTCAGACATCAGTTCTGATGGCTAATGAGTGATGCTGTTAAAACAAACATTCCAATTTCCAGCATAAAGTGTGTGTGTGGTTTTGTTTTGTTTTAAACAATGTGAGATAAAGCTTCCTGCAGCACCCAGAATGGAATGCAAGTAACTCTCCTCCCAGTTTTGGGATTCATCCTAGGGAATGAGGCTATTTGGCAGTTGGGACAGATAAAGCCCTCTCCGTACAGGAACCGACTCCCAAACAAGTCTGATTCATCACCCGTGAGAGAGGCAGGGCTGCCTGGATAATAATTCCACGTACCCAGAGAAAATTCCCGCTCTCGGTTGCTTGTTCTCCCTTCCAAATGACTCTTTTCCCAATAATTCCACCCTCCTGCCGTTTGCCACTGTATCGATTCCTTGGCTTTTGTCTCCAATGGAGCTTGAAATTAACAAAGCTTTCCCCCTCTGCACTGCCCGCGTCTCCTTCTCCTCCCACCGCCCACAAACCCTCCGCCCTGGTCGCAGTTCACCTCCTCGTTTGCACGGGGGATACTGTTTTGATGCCGATCCGCAGAAACGGACCCAGACCTGGTGGATGGCTGCGCTGCTGAACCGCAGCCCTGCCCCTAGCGCGGCTGAAACGCAGGAGGCCGTTTGGGGCGTCAGATAAAAGAGGGGTAGAAATGGGGACACAGCGGGAGGGGGACAGACAGCTGTGTGGAGCCAGGGGCGGGCAGAAGGAGAGCTGCATTCTGCCGCCAAGCGCCACATCTCCCGGATATGCTTCCTGCTCCTGCGAATCTTCTCCGGAGACCCTTTTGCAGGTGCTCGGCTTTCTGGAACAGGCCAGGTGGGGAATGGAGAGAGGGTCTTTTAAGCCGCCGCAGCTGGGATGTTCTGCAAAGGAAGGGCTCTTCCACCCTTTCCATTCTTATTTCATCTTGCGCTTCACGTGAGTTTGGCTGTGCTGCTGTCGTGTTTCTGACGGTCGTGCATTTAAGCACTCGGCTGGTCACCATGGGTGAGACGTAATGGCAGGAAGACACTCTTTCCCTCTTCCACAGAGAGATGGAGCTCTCTGGCCCATCCCAGCCTGCGGCCTGTCGGGCTGGTAGTCTGTTTTTCCCAGAGAGAAACTATGGTGAACTTCTGTGCCAGGCTGGCCAGGACTTGCGAGAGAGGGCTTGGATCCCCGCTCAGCAACAAGCTCACTGGGGGAAGACATTGGCCCTATCAGCATTTTATTTATTTATTTTTAATTTATTTTCCCATTTATATCCTGCCTTTTTCCTACAAAGGGCTCAAGGCAGCTTACGCCATTTTCCTCCTCCATCTTACCCCCACAACAACGACCCTGTGAGGTAGGTTGGGCCGAGAGTCTGACTGGCCCAAAGTCCCCCCGTTGGCTCCATGGCTGAGCGGGGACTCGAACCCGGATCGCCTGAGTTCCAAGTTCCACACTCTTAACTACACCACACTGGCTCTCCATATTTCTGTGCCTAGCCTACCTCCCAGGGTTGTTGTCGGGATAAAATGGGAGGCAGCACTTCAAGCGCTTTGGAGCAAAGGCAGGATGTAAATGCCAAGAAAACACTGCCGAGCAAGGGCTGCTGCCTTTGTACTGTGCTTTGAACACGCCGTTTTCCTACATTTATGTTGCCATGAGTCACCCTGGAAGATGTGCTGAAGGCCAGGGTGTGAAGTTTGTTACACAGACACATTTTGGGAAGGCCAGGCCATGTGCTTGGCTGCTAATTGCAGTGATTCTTAAAAATAACACCAGACCAGAAAAACTAGAGGCACTGAATCTCTTCCAGTCTCTGGGCCAGAGTCCTTTCCGGAGAAGTCTTGGTTCGGCATCCCCAGCAAGGCCAGGTACCAGCATATTGGGGCTCACAGCTCCTAATGCTGGGGGCAAAGTCCTAGGAGAGGCTTTTCAGAATGACACGAAAACTACACAAACTTTGGGAAATGCCAAACAATTGGTGGTTGAACCCTGGAGGGTCAGACCAAAAATTCAGGCTGGCTGGAATTGTCCCCTGAGATGGCGGCTTGCGCCCCAGCTTGAGGCCATGGCCTGATCCTGCAAGGTGCTTTGTATGAATGTGAGGAGTGCAGGGACAGGATCACTTAACACAGATGTTTAAAGATCTGGAAACTGCACTCTTTGCTAGTCTAAAAGAAACGTCAGTGGACCACGGGAATTCTAGAAGAGAGCGGAGCAGATCAGAGAGACGGAAATAAGCTTTAGGGCACGGAAGCCCTACCTTCTGAACAGATCAGATAACCACTGTCAAGGCTTGTGCGTAAAAGAATAAAGCTGGGCTTAAATTCTCTTCAAGAAAAGCTGCATTCTGTCACAGTATATATTATTGACTTGGGATCACCCGGAATGATCCGTGCTGGAGCCTTCTTTATAACTAGAATCCTGAAAAGTCTTCCCAAAGCTTCTGTCCTGGGTGGCTCTTTCGGTTAGGTCCCGAGTGCCAGAGATACTGTTCCTCTGATGCCGAGCCTTGAGCTATCACAATAAGGACTAGTAGCTTTGAATAACTAAGTCTAAGGCTCTCCAGAAGCCTAGCTTGTGGAACAGACTTTAGGTAAAGTCCCGTTCCATGGAGTTGTGTGGAATCGTCATTCTGACAACTTGATGCAACCAGCAGGATGAAATTCAGGGTCTTGGCTAACATCTGGGGGTGGGGGGGAGCAAGGAGACATTTCCCACAGAGGCTGTTGCTAACATCTGGTAAAGTGCTTGGTGAAATCCATGCACAATTATTGCTAACATCTGGAAAAGAGAATGACAGGTCCCTCCCAGCGATCTTGCTAATAGCACGAAGGAAGCGCGGCTGTGGCTAACATCTGGAAGCTATCAGGACAAATTTCTCTAGCATCTGGAGGGAAGGAGGGATGTGCCTTTACAGAGTTTTGTTGCTGCAAGGGGACAGCACCAGCCTCCTCTAACATCTGGACTTTTAAACTCCTGTGAACTAAGACAGCAGGGCTGGTCGGACGAGGTCGGACGAGGCCTCCTGTCTGTTAGCAGGATTTTGAATTTTCTCTCACGGAAGGCTGATGGTGCATGTTTGCTTTTAAATGAGCATGCGCTCACAGACACTGAACCCAAGGTGTGTGGGGGGTGGCTTGGGCTGCAGAGTGTAAAAAGCCTCTGCATGAGGGCTTCACATGGCCGATAGCGGATGCGCCCCGTCCTTCTGACCCAGGCATGGCCCTCACTCCCAGATTTTGCCTGGGGAGGATTCACCTCCCTAGAGGGCCTGTGCTTTGCCCCATTGCGGAGGCCAACGGAGCAGACCAGGCACCGAGGGGAGAAACCAGTCTGTCTCTCTGGTTATACAGCAGAAGATCCGGTGTCCGTGCACACCTCCTCTGCCAGCATGCTGGCTGGCCAGGGATGATGGGAGAGGAAGTTCCAAATGGTGCTGGGACAGGGAAGGCCTTTGCCTGAAGCTTGGCCATGTGACCATTTGGATGAGACGAGTCCAGCCTCCAAAGCGGGCTCAGCACCACGGAGAGCTCCGGCAGAGCTCCCCCGATGCGCCGCCCACCCTCCTCCCTGGCCGCGGCTGCAGGTACTCACGGGTGCACCCGCTCTTCTTGTCCGTGACGATGCCCCGGAAGTTCCAGAAGCCGGGCTCGCAGCGGTCGCACTTCAGTCCCCCGACGCCCGGCTTGCAGGAGCACTGCCCCGTGGAAGGGTCGCAGCCTCCTCCGTAGGAGCCGTAGGGGTTGCAGTGACAGGTGCCTGGAAAAGGAGGGGGGGGGGGGGGTCAGGTTGCCACCAAGTGGGACGCTCTGGGAAGGCAGGCGGGCTGTTTCCGCCTGGGCTTCTTCGCACGCGGCCCTCTCCCAGGGGCTGCTCTTACTCGCTCGCTCTCTCACAGCATCGGAAATGAGCGTCCCCACCTTCAGCCGCTCGTTGGCATGCCAAGCGCCCAGGAAGAAATGCCTGCCTGCTTGCGAACTGGCAGGGGTGGGGCGTTGGGTGCAGGGGGGGCCAGCCTGCCCGCCGGCGGTTTCCCGAGGGAAGGCACGATGCGCGAGGGTTCTAGGACTGACGCTGGATTGGTGGCTCAGGCATCCCACAGAGTGTTGGCGCTGGAAGGGGCATCCAGAGAGAGAGAGAGAGAGATGGAGCCGACAGGGCAGCCGGGTGACCTCTGTCTTCCCTCTCTCCTGGGGAAACAGGCGCGGGGGAAGTTATTTCAGAAACCGGCCGTGAGGAATAAATCCGAGGGCTGCCACAGGCGCATTGGCCTGTGGGCTGCTGATTGCATCCTGATTTATGCGCTCCACTGTGGACACAAGGGCATGCGGGGGCAAAATGCGAGTGAAGGGGAGGCTCGTCTCGAGGCGGGGTGAGTAAACCCAGGGCCGGGCCTGACGCCAGCCCCGCCGGCCTGAGAGACGGCACAGGCGCACCCGCTGTTGCCGGCAACGGGTGTGAGCAGCCAGGGGAAGCCGAGCCCCCCAAAGCCTCTGATCGGGGGGGGCAGCTCCTGCCCCCCAGCCTCCCCCTCCCAGATGGGCAGCTTCAGGCACAGAGGTCTCCCTGCCGGCGGCAAAACCCCACAGTGCCGGATCCCTAGTGCAGGGGCCACTGCTGCACGATGTGAGCATGAAATGCTCAGGCCACGCACAGACCTGGTGGCGGGCGGCCTCGGACCCTGGATCGAGCTGGGCAGGGGCGGGGGCATGCTGGGGGTTGTAGTCCAACACATCAGGAGAGTGCTGGGTTTGCGGAGAGCTGCCCGGAGCAGTCAGGAGGGTGATGAACTATGCCCAGGTACGGCTCATCTTCGGGCAAGTTGTACCACTCAAGTTTCTAGCCCTGACTGTATGTCCGAGGGCACATACTCGGTTTGCACAGGGTGACCCGGGGCTGATGCGCACTGCGGAGCTGCGCCAGGGAAGCTTGGCAGGAAGAGGGGCCCAGCAGCCATCCGGGAGGACCGAGCCGTTTTTAATGACTGCTTGGGAGGGGCAGACAATCCTCCAGTGTCGCTTTCCACTGCTGCAGCCCATCCGGCCGCCAGCGAGGCTAAGCCAGCGTCCGGGGCCCTCTCATCCTCTCCACTGTACACTCACAACAACCCTGCAAGGTAGGTGAGGCTGAGTGTCCGCACCTGGCCCAAAGTCACCCGGTGAGATTCGTGGCAGAGTGGGACCTCCTGGGTCCAGCCCAGCACTTCCGCCACCGCACCTCACGCCCCCCCCCCCCCAATCATCCCCATGGGACGTTTCTTTTATTTATTGTTTTTATATCCTGCCTTTTTTCCTTCCAAGGAGCAAAAGGCGGCTCACATAATTCGCCAGCTCCTAGCAATCTTGCCCTCTCAGCAGCAACCCTGCGAGGTAGGCAGGGCTGAGAGTCCGTGATCGGCCCAAGCCACCCAGGGAGCTCCACGGTTAACCCAGGCCTCCCGACCCACAGCCTGGGGCTCTTAGCCACCACGCCTCACCGGCTCTCCTTGCCCTGAACGGCAACCCCTTTGCCCAGGGGCACCCCATGAGTCCATGGTAGAGCCAGGCTTTTACTCTTGGCCACGTCCCTCGTGGCACCCGAGAGATGCATTCCCCACCCACTTCCCACCCCATGGGTGACCTCAGCGGCTCCGAGATCCTGGAATTCCCCAAGAGATTAAAGCCACTGTCGGAATGCCTCCGCTTATTAAATTATATGGCGCATGAAATGACTCGGCATCCCCGATCGAGGCGGCCTCATCCAGTTCTGCGCTCATCCCGACGGCTGCGACCCACTAACCGGCTCGCCATCAGCCACGGCTGCTGAACCCCCCGCTAATGCCCCCCCCATCTTATTAGGTTAAGGAGCCAGCTCCGGCTAATTATTTCATAAAATATGCATGAAGCCTCCACCGGTGCGGCTGCGGCAGAGAGACAGGCGCCCTGCAAACGGGCTGTGCTCGGATTAGAAGACAGGTAGGAGGCGGGGGGATGCCTGGGTTCTCGTCCGGGCATGAGGCGGCATGTCCTGGGCGCCCAGAAGGCCTGGCAGGCCCAGGCGGGGCAGGATCGGGCAAGCACTCGGGGGCCACGTCCAAGCAGGCCCCTCCGGGCAAAAGCCCCGGGAGCACCAGCGGCTCCGTGCCGGTGCAAACTGCCCCTCACGCTGGCCCAGAGAACGGCAGTGGCGAGAAGGAAGGCCGGAGTCAAAGGCGGCAGAGTTGGGCCCCTGCCAAAGGCTCGCGGCTCAGGAGATGCCCTCAGAGAAGGAGCCCTGGACCCGTCCTGCCCTGTGGTGCAGCTTGCCCCGGCTCGCTCTGGCCTGGACGGGGGGGACTGGGGCATGCCACAGCCTCCCCTGCTCAGCGGCGTTCTGTCTGTGAAGCCAGCAAGGGGTCGCCATGACTAGGAAAGGGGCGAGAGCGGGAGCAGCTGGGGGCCACAGAGGGTGGTGTCTTGCCCAGGGGCCCTTCGGAAGCTGCTTCGGCGCCCTGCTCTTCCAAGGCAAACGGGAAGAAAGATCGGCGGCGTCCACTTACTGGGGCAGCCAGCAGAGCCGACTCCGAGAGCCAAGGTCACGTTGTCTGGGCAGCACCCGTACACTGTCTGGCTGCAATGCAGGACTTCCGGGAGAGGTGGAAGCGTCGCAACACCTACAGGGGAAAGTTTAAAATATGCAGGAAGGGGGCACGGTTGAGTCTTCTGACTGGAGAGCAGCATTCAAACGAGAGAAGCAAGAATCAGGATGAAGTTAATGTCTTTGCTGGAAAGCCGCACTTCAAACCAAGTTTCTAGTGCTTATGGCGGCCGCAGCGACCTTGAAAGCCCATGAGGAACGCTTAGAGAAATCAGGGAAGACAGGCGGGCTTACCTCGGCAGGCTCCCTGACTCATCACGTGGATATCCTGGCGCTTCTCACAGCGGGTCTTTTTCAGTTCGCACTCGTTGGTGTAGGTCACTCCGTCGGAGCCGCACACCTGCGCGGGTGCAAGGGGGAGATCATCCAACTGCACCAGCTTGCAACCGAGGCAGGCCAAAGCAGCCGCCGTCTGGGGGACTGGGCTGCCCCGTCCCCACCCCCATTTCCGGGCAAAACACCCCATGGGAGGCAGGGTGGAGAACTGGCGCGCTGGCGAGGTGCTTTGGCTAGAAGCAGGTCCTCTAGCAAAAGCACCTTCGTTTCAGCACAGAGACCTGCTTGTCTTCCAGCCTCTCGCTTGGACCTAGACTCCCCCAGTGGCAAGAAAGGGGAGCAGGAGATGGTGGATCCACTGAGGAACGGGAACAGGGTACCTTGCTGTCCAAATCCTAGAGCCAGCCTGCCACGACTGGGAAAGATGGGCATACAGCCAGACACGTCCAGGTGGGAAGGGCGGTTGGCCCCAGGCAGGACACCCACGGCCGAAGCATCCCAGAAAGACAGTTGTCCGAGCTCCACTCCGAGGCGCCCTGCATGCTTTCGTGCCTGGCGGGGTTTAGGAATGCGCGGGGCTGCTCGGCACCTACCGGGTTTCTCGGCACGGCCCCGCAGGTGTAGTCACACACGCAGCGGTCGTCTTCCACGTCCTCGTCCCACGAGCCGCCGTACTGCCGGCAGCTGTCCCGGTCACACTCGTTCAGGTCCCCTGAGCCAGATTCTCCTCCCGAGCTGCATTCTGGATGGGGAAAGGAAAACAGGATAAAGAGACAGCTCCTTACATCCATCGATCCGAACCAGGGCTGTTTATGTCGTGAGCGGAGCCGGCTGGAGCCGGGGGTCAGACTAGATGGCCCGGGAGACCCCTTCTGACTTGCTCTGTTTCTATGTTTAAGCAGCAGTTGCCACTGGAACGCAGCAATCTTAGAGCGGTTGCACAAACTGCGGCTTGCACCAATCCACTGATGCTCTGGAAATCACAACACAGGCATGCTTCGAGGCGCATGCCTGTGAGAGCCAGCGCACTGTACCAGTTCAGCGTGCTGAGCTGGGAGCCAGGAGTCCCGGGTTCTAGTCCCTGTGCACCCACGAAGTTCGCCGGGTGGCTTTGAACAAGTCGCTGACTCCCAACCCATCCAGCCTCACAGGGTTGGTGTTGTGAGGATAAAGTCGAGAGGAAGGGAACCTCGAGAGGAAGACAGGTGGAAGCGATGTGATCAGCCGCTAAAATCTCACTGATCACAGGTCGTCTCAGAGACAGAAATCCCCAAACTGGCCACAGTAAGTCGACACCAGCACGGGGCTAAGAATCCGGAATCCAAGGAGCCAAACCGGGAAAATCCTTTGGCATTTGGTTGTTGCTGTTCATCCCCCACAGAAACACACTCCTTACGTTCCCAGAGACACCGTTTGCCGTCCTTCTTGTGCTTTGGAGAATTAGGCTCCAGACACGAAGGGTTAATGGATGTCCCCGGTGTGACCTCTTTCCTCCCACCCGGTTTCTATCCCACCATCAGCAGGGAGAGGGAGGGGGAGAAAGGGCATCTGCAGGATTTCTTCTGCCACCTCGCTCTACCCTCTGGAGTGTGAAATTAAAGCACTGATAAACCTCTTTGCCGAGGCCTATTATGTGCCGTCACCTTTCATTATTGGCAGATAAAAAGACAATGGGAAGGAGGGAGACGGGGCAGGGCGAGGGAGCCAGCGGGCTTAATGGACCGGGAAGCGGCTGCCACATGCCCTCCTGTACGGAGGCACACGCCCGCCCTGGCTTAGCCGTGGCACTGATCCCAGGAAAGGACCGCTCCGGAGCAGCATGGGGGTTGCTAAGCAACGGCGGGAAGTCTTCCGGGGACATCAGGCTTGTGCGAACCTTGGGGGCAACGCGGAGGAAGTGCGGGGCGGGGGCAGGAAGAAGAGGGGAGCTGCCCCCTGGGTAAGTAAGTTCTCTGCACAAAAGAAGAAACAGGTGCAGATCTGACCCCCCCCCCCCGAAAAGCAACAGGGCTCTGGAAATCGGGGGGAAGAGCCTCATCTCCTGGGGAACGCTCCCCTGTGGCTGACTTCCAGGCCATCATTTGGTTCCAGCACAGAATGAATGGGCTGGATGGACCAATGAGCCTGCGTCTCTTGGCCGTGTTACGGGGCTAGACTTTTGCATGAGAAGCGAGCGAGGCAGCGCAATCAGCGCTTAGCGCCATTCTGCTGGGGTGAAGCCAGCCCTTGAGACAATGAAATATTCAGCCATATTCGGAACGTATTAACATCTGCCTCAGCGCTACTCAGGGCGGCAGCCACGCAAGGCAAGGAAAATCCTGAATTTGGCCCTGGAATCTGCATCTTGAAACAGTGCTAAAATGTGGGCATGCTGCAAAGTCAGCTTCGGTTTTAATAGCGCCGTGTTTTTGGGGAAAGACATTCCTGCAAGACGAATCCAGCTCAACCTCTTTATATCGGAGTGGAAAACTCACGGGATGCAGGCTCTGGGTGCACACCACCCTGACCACCACCCTGATGTTTTAAAAAGTGGCCATTTGCCCCTGAAGTCAAGTCTGGCACCAAGCCGTTGTGGAGCTTTCGAATGGGCAACCTTAGACTGAAGCCAACGCCACGTCCTGCCGCTAGGAGAGACTCACCCTCCTCGCAAGGCCCCGTCCTGGACACCTCGACATCTTTCTTCTGTTGGCAAGCTGCCCGCCGGAGCTCACACAAGTTGTTGTACGTGACGCCGTTGCTCCCGCACACTTGCGCCAGGGGCTGCTTCTCACAGCGGGGGCAGACGCACTGTCCACCCACGCACTTGGCCCCAAAGGAGCACACCGCAGCCCCACAGGTTTCTAGAGGAGGGAGGAGAGAGATCCGTTGTGTCGGATACCAGAGAGCCACTACGCAACAGGACAATCTTAAAACCCAGCTTAAAACCAAGATGGATTTTTGCTTCGTGCGGTGGGGGGGGGGGGGCTCTGCTTGGCCTGAGCACTCACAAGCTGATCCCCTGCCAGTTAGGACATCAGGAACTGATCCAGGAGACACGGGCTGCTAACCGCCCAAGGGGCCAGGCGGAAGGGGAGGCAGGAACTCACGACAATCGCCTTGCGCCGCCACCTCAATTCTGGTCTGCTGCGTGCAGGCCCGTACGTGGAGTTCGCACTCGTTCCCATAGGTGTTCCCGTCCGTGCCGCAGACGGGTTGAGAGGAGGGGACGCATTCGGTGGGGCACACGCACCGCCCCGTCTCTGCCTCGCAGATGGCACCAAACTGACACTTTCCACAACGGTCTAAGAGGAAGGGGGGGGGGGAGTTTAAGAGATTGCAAGTGTTAATACTCCCTTTCCTGCAGGAACTTAAGGTGGGATTCACCTGGTTACCTGAAGGAGCTGCTCCTTCCGTACGTGGCTGCCCACCCCTTAAGGTCTGGGGCAGAGACCCTTCTCTGGGAGCCCTCCTTGAAGGAGATTAGGAGGGTGGCTACCCAGAGAAGGGCCTTCTCTGTGGTGGCGCCCAATTGTGGAATTCGCTCCCCAGAGAGGTTCGCCTGGTGCCATCATTTTATTCTTTTCAGCACCAGGCCAAACCCTTTTTATTTTCCTAAGGTTTTAAGATCTGAATGTTTTAACTGGGGCTTTACCGTCGGTTGGAATTTTTTAGAACGCTGTTTATTTTACATTGTTTTATTGTTAAACCATCCTCGGTAAGAGACGGTGTAGAAAAGTTTTAAATACATACATAAAATCGAAGACCCTCCCCGGCCCAGCTTTCTCTGCACAATCCCGTGGGGTCAGCTAGGTCAGCAGAGCACCTAACCTCCGTTGCCGGTTCCAGCACCCAGAGCTGCAGTAGCTGCCCATGGCTTCCCTTCTTGCAAAAGGGTAAAACTGTATATCCCATCAGACCCAGGTACCCCACAGCCGTGCTGGTGGAGGCTGATAGCAGCTGCAGTGCCACGCATCTGGAGTAAATCATCAACTCTCCTGCAACTAAACCCTCTGAATGTTTAGCGGGAAGAATCGCTCCCTCTTCTGTGTTTATCACTCCCCCTCCGCTCCGCCATTGTGCGGCACTTTAGATTGGAAACTGGGACTTCTCCTTTCATTCGCTGTCAAACGCCAAGGCACACCGAGAACGGTGGGGAAGCTTTCTTTGGCTGAAAGGATTTCTGTGCAGCAAAGCTTCCAGGGTGCTCCACGCAAACAAGGCAGAGGACAAATGGAACACAAACAACTTATTAGAAATCATTAACATGTTAAAAAACATTTAAAAGCCGGGGGAAATAAAAAGGTCTTTGCCAGGCATGGAGCCTAGCCTCTTGGCTCCGTTTTCTGGCTCCACCTGCAGGAATCGAACCTGGGGGCTTTTTAAATGCAAAGCAGGGGCTCTCGGGGCACCAGGCTGATTTGGGGACAGGGTTCGGCACCGTGGACAGCTCCTTCGCAGCGCGGACGCCGATCCGGCGTGGAATCCCGGCTCGGCTGACCTTGAAGCTGCCGGGCTCCTCCAGTGCTATGGACCGCATTCCCATTAGGACAGACAATTTTCCTGGACTGAGTCCCGCTAGTCCAGTATGGTCAATGCTGACTGGCGGGGGGGGGGGGGGGGTTGGCAGGAATTTTCCCCAGCCAGCCCTCAGGCGCCTGGGATTGAACCCAGAACCTTCCTCGGGCTCCACCACTGAGCCAGGCTTCCTGCTGACGGGCCACAGGCCTCCAGGCCCCATGGCATTTGGCGCACGAGCATTCTGCTCTCGCCCGGCAACTCCGTGTCCCCAGGGTGCAGCGCAGGCCGAAATGCGATCAGTGAAGTCCCCTCCTCCCACCACACACACAAGTCTCAGTCTTGGGGACCGAACTCAAGCTGCCTTTTATGCCACTGTCACTTTTATGCCACTTGCAGGGCAAGGGGGTGAAGTGGGGGGGGGCGCAGTGTCTGCTAACGTGGCAGCTCCCACCCCCCACAATTCCCAGCCAGCTGCTGTCAGCTGGGGCCAGGCAGACATTCCTCGTGCAGGGCAGCCGAAACGGAGCACCTTGGACCGCAAGCTAAAGGCCCTCAGTGAGGTTCTGTTCCACTGTGGCCTTCGCCCATGGGGGGGGGGGCACAGGGGCAAGGCCCACATGGGGGGTGTTACCCCCTCCTCTTCTGCCCTCCTTAGCGTTACACTTATCTCCTGCCTCCTTGCCTTCTGGCAAGAGGCACACAATGCCCAAGGTGGCTTCTGTGGTCCTCCTCTCCCGTTTATCTGCACAGCAACCCTGTGAGGTAGGGCAGGCTGAGGGTCACCAGGTGGCCTAACGCTGCCCTATGAGCCTCATGGCCCAGTGGGGGCTAGAGCCCCGATTTCCTGCTCCCCCTGTCCAAGGCTCTAACCACTGCACCACATGGCCTCTCAGTGGAGTGGCCCGGCCGTGCATCCAGGTGGCTGCCATAAGGGACGAGGCTTCAGCCACTCAGCTACAGTTGCTGCACCGCAATGCCATGCAGCTAAAAGAGCAAAGGGCCAGGGACAAATGGTGGCGCCCCCTCACCTTGCCTCCAGGGGGCGCCGAGGGGCGCCCCGACTTAGGATGGGGCAGGGTAACCTTGCTTGGTCGCTGGCCCCTGAACGAACTGCCAGGGCACTCATAAACTCCCATCAGAGACTCCCCTGTTGCTCACACAGCCACTGCTCCAAGGAAGGGGGGGGGGAGAGGGGCAGAGGGGTGGCCCCGGACTCTTAAATCTGTCCACGCCAAGAGCCACACAGCAGCAAAATGTCACCCCGGTGCCTCGCCACGGCATGCTTCTAAATGGGCGAGAGCAGGGCATGCTGGCCTGGGTGCAATTATAAAGCGATAGACGCCACACGCTTTCTCTCGGCAGGGAAGTGCCGCTGCAGAGCAGCATTTTGAAGGATACACCGAGGGAGGGGGGGTCGCCCTTGCTGCATCTGGGCTTCTCGCTTCGCTGGAAGTGCCTGCTCTTACGGCAGCTCCCAGGCCCATCCGGAAAACCTCCTTTCCCCTTGGTGCAGAGAAGATGGAGCTGGGAGCGACCGAAGCGACGGGTCTTGGGAGGCGGCACCTGGGCCACGAGTGGAGATGGATGCGAGCACAGCTGGCAGAATTTTGGCATTGTGGGGAGGAGATCTTGGCTCGGACCAATTCCAGCCTTCGGGAGTGGGGGTCGTTCATCGCTAGTTGCACGCATGCCGCGGCTACAGTGCGGCAAAGTCAGACAACCCCAAAGGCTGCGCAGAGGGAGACGAGAGAGGAGGCAAGGCCACCTCGCCATCCCTGAGGCAAGACGACTCCCGTTTTCCTCTTCCCTCCCCATTCTCCCTTCTTTGCATGCCGTGCCTCTTTATGGACTGGAAGCCTGTGGCAGACATCCGGCTGAGTCACAAGAAAGCCAGTGTCCAGGCTTTTTCTCTGAGTTCGAGAAAATGCGCATCTCGCCCATTTACGTGCAAATATAATCAGGTTTCAGAGGAACACAGGGCCAAGACAAAGCAAGCCACAAAGAAGAATTCAGAGAGTTTCAGCAAACTCTAGCATTGCTAGGTCTCTCATTTCCTGCTAGGGAGGTCTTCCTGCAATGCAGCAAGGACTGGATCTTACGAGCTGGGACCCGGGGCCTGGAGAAGGCGGCATTCAGTCTGGGTCACTGTTGGTCACAAAACTCTGAGCAAGATGGATTTTTGTTCAGCTCCAGCAAAGTAATAGTTAACCTGCAACACCCATCCCCTGCCCTGTGGCCCATGAGCCACCCTCTGGGGGCACCTCTCCTGAGGCCGATCTGGAAAGGACTTTCGGGACAGAGGGCAGCATCCACACCGGGCCCACTCCATCCACGTCGGAGTGTGATGAACGCTTTGTCCCTCTCCAAACGGGGACTGCAACCCTGGGGCTTCTTCCTCTGATTTTAATAGCTTCTCCCTTCCTGGGAGTGAATGTATTTACAACATGACACCAATAATTCACAGCGCCTACCGCTTCCTTCTTCCCCATCTCCTCGAGCAAATGTGTGTTCGCAGCATGGGGTGGGCGCGGAGGGAGGAAAGGGGGTTGCGCAGGACCATTCATCTTCATAAGTCACTCGCCAGATCGCAGTTCTCTTAGCGTGCACAGAAAGATGGGGAAAGGTCGGCCAACCGCTCCGTTGTGCCGCCCCTAACTGGGGCCGCCTGGGGGCTTTGTAGCAGGGGGACTGCCCCCGAAGCTCATTCAGTACTCCAAGGGTTAGGGCAAAGGATTGCAGGTCTGGGGGCTGAGTCTGCCCTCAGAGGGTTCTCCCCATTCCCTGACCCCATCCCCTCTCTTCCAACTCTTGGGCGGGTTCTGGACTTTTATGCCGCTTTCTCCTCATTCTAAATGGAGGGAGGGCCTCCCTTAAGGTTGGCTTGCTGGTGGGAAGCACTTTAAGCTCTTTGGGCCCTGTTCCTTCGGCATGCGCCCCCAAACGCTGGAATGTGACCCCCACCCCACCCCAAGATGGTGCCACGGTGGAATTTGGCCACTGGAAGAGGCTCCACATCCCTTGTCTCTAGAGACAAAAGGCCTCCTGCGGGTTTGGGGTCTTCGCACCCTCTGGCCACACCCCTTCCATACCAACCCCTCCCACCTTTGCCCTGCCCTCTCTTAAAGCAACAGCACTGAGAAAATGGGTTGCGTTTGCTGCAGAAGAGAAGATGCACGGGAAGCAGGACGCGGCCGGTGCTTCCGTGGAAAAAGCATCACGTCCTGGTGGAGGGGGGGACCTCTGCCTGAAAGCCCAGGGTGGGAGAGAAGGCCTGTAAGGAGCAAGAGTAACAGCCAGAAAGCAGCGACTCAAGGGCGGAAAAGGGCAGCTGAAGTGCAGGACGAAGCCGCAGGAAAGGACAACTGAGACCATCGAGGGCTGGAGGAAGCTCCCTGTTGAGGAAAGCTGGCAGCAGCTGGGATTCCTTAGCCTGGGGGAAAGGGGTGAGTCAGGGGGGAGAGTGTGGAGGCATACAAAATGAAGCACGGGGTGGGAAAGTGAAGAGGGGGCCTTTTTCTCCCTCTCGAATCCAGTGGGGTCATGCCAGGGAGTTGCTGAGTGAGACACTCAGGACGGATCTGGGGAAAGATTTCTGCTGTGTGGCCGCTAAGCAGCCGCAGCGAAACGCAAGCCGCTCCGTAGCTCCTGCCACACCTGCAGAACCCAGCCCTGTCCACGCTCCTCCTCCGTCCCTCCGTGGTTCCTGCTCCCCAACAATGGCACGCCTTGTGTTGGCTGGATGCGAGGGGCTGCCGACGCAACCCGTCCAGCCAAGGGAGAGGGCGGGCCGTGGCTCCATGCGAGAGCCCCTGCGTTGCATGCAAAATAACCAGGATCAGGATCAGGCCCTGGCATTATGAGGTAGGCCTGAAAACATCATCCCAGGAACGCCTGCAGAGCCGGGGGCGGAAGCGCCTTCTGAGCGGTCTTTGTCAGCGTGGAAAGAGCTTTACGGGAGCTGTCCGTGGTGCTGAGCTGTATCTCCAATGAGGTCCACCACCTGGAGCAGCACGGAGAGACGCTGCAAAACTCGGGGGGAGGCGGCAATAGATGGGGTGCCCGCTGAAGCACAGGAAGGCCAAACATGGGATGGATCGACTCCATCACGGAGGCCACAGCCTTGAACGTAGGAGAGCTGAGGGAGGCCATGTTGGAGGGCTTTCACTCATCGGGCCATGCTGAGGATGACTTGACGGCACGTCGCAACGGCAACGACCCACTGAAATAGGGGGCACCAGCCTCCGCTAGTCAGCTTCATCAGAACTGGGCTGGGTGCACCCAGCGTTTGGCACCGAGACAGCATTCAGACAATACCACTGAGAACCAGCGTGGTGTCGTGGTGGAGAGCATGGACTGGGACTCAGACGACCCGGGTTCGAGTCCCTGCTCAGCCATGGAGCCCACCGGGTCATTTTGGGCCAGTCACAAACTCTCAGCCCAGCCTCCCTCAAAGGGCTGTTGTTGTGAAGGTAAGATTGAGAGGAGGAGAATGGCGTGAGCCGCTCTGAGTTCGTTGTAAGGAAATGGCGGGATATAAATCGAATCGAATCGAATCGAATCAATCCATCTATCCCTTCATCCATCTACCCACCAAAATGGCCACCCTCAAGGGTTGGGGGTGGGTTGTCCTTGAATCAAGGGTTGTTGCTGAAATGTGGGTTGCTGTGTTGTCTGAACACAGCCGTGAGAACAAGCCATGGCGGACAACCCAGCGGTGGCTACAGAGCCGCCCGTCGACTCACCGCAAGCGCCCTTGTGCTTCACCCGGATCTCCTTCCTCAGGGCACAAGCCATCGCAGCCAGCTCGCAGGGGTTGCCGTACGTGAGGCCGTCGCTGCCGCAGACCGGGTCGTAGACGCTCTGGCACATCTGCTGGCATTCGCACACGGCCTCCTGGTTCTTCACCACGCAGGTGGCTCCGAATGTGCACTCGACGCTCAGGCAGGGGCTAGGCGTGCCCAGATCTGAATTGAGACGGGGAAAGCGGGCACAGGCAGCACAACGGTCAGCGTGAATTGTGAGCCCCGCTCCCAGATCTGCTTGCCCCTGCTCTCCATCCCCGCCTGTCCATTGCCGGCGGGACCGGATTCAGAAGTCCCCCTGGGCCTCCTTTACGCAACTGCCTTCTGCCTCAACCAAAGCTTGCCTCGGGGTGGTCTCTGGGCGCTCCGTGGAAAGGCTGGGCATGCTGCCCCCCATGTCCGTGTGGTGCCCACTCCTGACGCCTGCCCACGGGGGAACACCAGGAAGAGAGGATCGCACGAGGTTCTGGGCAGGGCAGAGCGGCAGAAGCGGGTGTGAGCACACACTGTCTTTATGAGACTTGCGGCCGGGTGCATGCAAGTCGGGGGGTGGAGGGGCAGAATGCTGGGAGTGCAGGGGGGGGCGAGCCTCAGCCCACCCCACCCTTCACTGAACCCCTGGCCTGGGCGCTCTGATTTCCACAGGGCACTCCAGGGCCTCGGTGGAAACGGGCAGAGCCACTTCTGGTCTGGGCTGCTCTGGAGCGCCGCCACAGCTGTTTCTCCTCCTCCGCTCAGTCGTTTTTCCTCCACAACACGCCGCTTCTGACTGCGGAAGCAGGCTGCTGGCTCGGGCGTCCCGAAGGACTGAATCTGGGGTGGGGAGATGGGACCAGCCCAACTGTGAGGACGTGCTTCCTCTGGGAGCACTTCTTTGGCATCTGCAAGGAAAAGGCGTACGTCGAAATTCAGGCTTCCCAAAGGCACGGGCAGGGCATGCACCGGGACCTCATGGAGGTGGCCTGAGGAGGGGAAAGCAGTGCGCTCGTCCTAACCGGAGCGGGCAAAGGCTTCTTACTGCTCCATGCCAGCTCCCCTCTTCTGTTGTGGTTAGACAGTGTTCAAAGAGCGAGTGATCATAAGAGGAGACTGCGGTGCTTGGGATATGGCCGAATTCTCTTCCTGCCCGGCATCATGGGAAGGCCGCGCTCTTCCCACAGTCCCACTGAGCTGCAGGAGATGCCAAGCTCCTGCTGCAGCAGAGAATCTGTCGGAATTCCTTGTCTCTGCAGCCTCAAGCTCAGCCTGAGGCAAGAGGGAGGCAGCGCTCTGCTTGAAAGGGGTCTCTCTTGCTCACAGAGTTCTGACTGAATCCATGGTCTTCATGCAACCAGCAGGCAACAGATCAAGAGGAGTCTGCAGAAGGGGAATCCTGCCCATGTGCCAGGAGCTCGTGCTGCGCCTTTCCGGGCTGCTCACGGATCGAGAGCGGGACGCAACGGCGGGACTGAGGTGAGTTGCAGCAGGAGGGGCCACATTCCATGGGGGTCAAACAACAGCCGTGGGGGTTAGCACAGATGGAAGAAGAAGATGGAGAGAGAGAGAGTGGTGGAGGAGGAGGAGGAGGAGGAGGAGGAAAGGGGGGAAACACTAAAGAGGAGAGAGACAGGAAAGCATGATACACAGATGAGCAAAATGGAAAGGCAGGTGTTATCTGAGGCTGGCTCTCACGGAGGTGGCCAACCTGGGCCTGGATTTGACCATTTCGGGCAGCAGCGGGCAGAATGCCCCTCCATGCAAACACAACCAAACCTAAAAGAAAACTCTTGCACAAGGAGAACGAGCAAGTGGGGGAAGAGGGTTCCAGCCTGGCCCACTGGAAGCAGGGGCGCCGGGGGATCGAATGCTCCTCCCAGTCAGCCAGGAAGGCGCCTCGCCTACAGACTGTCCTCTCCCAGCGACTCCACCAGGAACGGCCACTTCCAGAAGTGGCAAGACCGCTTTTCTTTGCAGAAAGGAACACCTTCCTCTGCCTCCCCTTGCGCCAAGCAGAATTCCCCACCCTTTCTCCCAGGGAATGAATGTTCTCCCAGGGAAAGGGGGCAGTATTCAGACATGTATTTCCGTGGGATGCTAGATGCCCTGTCACCACTCAGCAAGCCTCGCCGTCGAGTGGAGATGTGAACTCTCATCTGTGGGCTCCTAAGCAAATGCTATAACCACTGCCCCACACTGCCTCTCAAGTTAGCACAGTGGTGCCTCGCCCACAGAAGATCCTGCCCTGATGACCTGTCAAGGTTCAGGAATCCAAGCAGCTGGTGTTTAAATCAGGCCCAGCCAATCGAAGGCCCTCTTAGTGGCTGCCAATCAAGGCCCTGAAGTTGGACATCACGATTCCTGAAGAGGGCACCATGGTCTGAGCGCGCAGCACCCCAGGTTTGCTTGAGATCCCCAAAATCTGGGAATGTGGGTGCCTGCATGCACTTATTCCCAGAGAGAGACAGAGACAGACACATATAAAAGAATGAAGTGAGGAATAAGCATGACCATTCCAAGAAGCCAGGCAGGGAGCGGTACTTAAAACCAACCAGGAGCAGCCTAAATCGGCTCATTCACAGTGAAAGGGGCAGCACATGATGCGCTCTGGGGGAGAAGGGCAGCGGAAGGGCGTGCGCTTGCCAAAAGAAGAAAAGCAAACGCTCATGACAAAGTCCCGTGCGCTTTGGGGTGGGAAAGGGGAAGATGCAAAGCATTGCAAGACTCAGAAACTCTGCATTCCGAACGGGATCGGGGACCGCTTTTTCCCACCGTGTTTCCCTGGGGGCCGGGGGAAAGTGGGCCTGGGATGGATCATCCGGGGCAAAGCTAAGGAGAAGGTGCGAGGAAGAAGGGTAGAAAGCCGACCTCGAAGCAGAGACATCCCGGTGGGGAGCGGTGGGACAGTACGCGGATGATGGGCTTCCTTTCTCCAAACAGGCAACACTGGAAGACACAAGACACACAACAGAAAGAGAGAGAGAGAGAGAAAGGGAGAGGAGAGGAGAGGAGAGGAGAGGAGAGGAGAGGAGAGGAGGGGCATAGAGAAAAGGAAAGGGAGGGAGGGAAAGAGAAAAAGAAGGAAGACGGACAGACAATGCTATGGACGAGACCCTCCCCGCAACAGGCCCCAATTTAACTCCTCCCCACCCATCACAGCGACGAGTCCACACCAAACAAGTGATGGAAGCAGCGGGCAAGAAGAAAGTCTGCCATTTTCCGTCCGCGGTTTAAGGCACAAACCTACGCGGGTTTAGACGAAATCAAGAACGGTCCAGCGACTCCAAACATGCCCGGCATTGTGGCTTCTCCCACTGAAAACGTTGTGGAAGAATCACGCAGGGCGAGGGCTTGGGGGGCGGTTTTGAGCAGCTGTGGGGCACCGAGAGACGCGCAGGGCGCACTTTACACTCATGCGTCTGTGTCGGCGTGTACTAATGTGCCAGGGAACGCAAACAGAAATGCTGAAAGCAACTGTCTTCGTGTAATGAAGAGCAGGCCTGCAGTTCAGTTCAGCGTTGATTAATGGATGCACGATCGCCTCCCCCTTGCTCTTCCACTTCAGCAGGGGATTCATTTAAGCCACTCACGCCCCAGCTTTGGCCTCGCTACAGCCACGCGGGGCTGCTGGCAGCATGCAAATTAATGCGCCTTAGAAATTCAGCTGGTTATATGATAGGGAAAGAGTCTTTTCAGTGGTGACTCCACTGAACATCTGCATGGAGGTGTGCGCAGCACCGATATCACATTCCTTCTGGTGCCAGGACAAATCCCGTGTATTGCCCAGGCGTTTCAAGAAATTTTTGTTTTAAGCTGGCTGTTCTAGATCATCTCTTTTATATATTTCTTGCCTTTTACTGCCATCCTGGGTGCTGTTTCCTTGTTGAGATTAAATATTTTATGAAGGCTTTTTAAATTGTATTTTGAATAGGGCCGAAGGGCAATAGAAAAATACGTGCAGTAAATAAATGGAATAATAACAAGAATACATCTGTATCCAAACTTTCTTCTTATTGCGAGTTAACTTCTTTTCCCCTGCATCTCTGCATCTTCCTAAGCGCCATTCCTGAGCTTCTGACGATACACACAATGATTTCAATCTCACAGATCAACTGGCTAATTAACAGATAAATGAGGCGGATCATAAATAAGAATCTTTCCGCTACTTTCCCTTCCTTGAAGTCTGAGAGATGCAGAACGATGCACAATGTTACACCATTCCAAGGGGAACTTTTTTGGGGGGGGGGAATAAGGAAGTCAGAACTGTCCACCACTGATGGGGTCTACCTAGCTCTCTTTCAGCATTAATCCCTGAGAGTGGGGGGGGTACACTTTGAGGGGAGCACTTCTCTCCCCTGTTCTCTTGCCCTCCAGGGAGAGAATCTGTGAGGTTCAAATCATGCCAGAGATAAAGTTGGATTCTCTCCTGCCCCCAACCCTTTCCAAAGGGACCTTTACAGAGCCGTGCGCATGCGGCACGCAAAGCGAAGTACGTAAAAGTAAAATTCTGCACCGAGTTCCACAACACCAGACAGCGGAATTCTGCAACCTGAAGCAAGGGTGCAGGTCTATGCAGATCTGAACAGGACAAGGAGTCAAGTCATTTTCAGGATCCCCCAACCAAGTCGCAGGAGTTGTTCTTTCAGTCTAAACATGCATTGGATTGGGCCCTCAAGTTCTTATGCGTTTTACTTTATGTGTAGGGGAAGGGCATTGTTTCCATTGCGCAGCCCACTCCCTGCAGTTCAGTCCCCGGAATCTTCCGTAGGGCCGAGAAGGGCCCCAGTCTGGCATTCCGGAGAGCAGCCGGAAATCCATGTACAGAGGGCTGAGACGGACCACATGCCTAATTCTGCACCGGCCCATTCTCTAGCCCGTGTGATTTCTACTTTGGCCGCTCACTTATCGGTTGAGTGTGAGTTGTCATGGAACCATGGGTTGTTGCTGAACCACGGGCTATAGTGTTGTCAGAACACAGCTGTGAGAACAAGCCATGGTGAACAACCCACAGTTCACAACAATCCATGGATCGCTTGTGGCGAACTGGCTATGGCTTCAGAATGATAGCCTGCTCTGAGAGCTGTTGCTAATTGGAGGGCTTGTAAAAGCTTTAAACAAACGGATGATTTAAATTATTTAAATAGAGAGAGAGAGAGAGCGAGAGAGAGAGAGATGCTAAGCCATGGCTCAGAAACAACTCACACTTAACCTACCTCAAGCCCATTAAGTGCACTGTCTTGTGGAAAAGCCGCATGTTAACCTACCAAAAAAAAGAGAACAAACTGCTCCTCTTTTGTTATCTGGGTCACAAACAGGGCTTAAAAACCAAAAACTAGTTCCGCAACCGACATCGCCAAGACCTCTCTTGAGGCATCTATACCTGGTTCACATGAAATATTTTTTTCCTCTGTCTCTCTCCACACATTTGAGACAGACAAGAAAAGACGCCGGCCAGGAATTGTGACTTGCCGTTCGCACCTGTGAACTGAGAAAGGTTTGTCGGGGGAACGGACACGGGAGAAGGCGAATTGTGGGTTGCAGGGGCGCCACCCCAGGAAAGGGCTTGGCGGAACAGCGAGCACTGCTTCTGGGCATCATGGCAGCACAGCCGGAGAATGAGCAGATGGACAGACGGATGGATGGATGGAAGGAAGGATGGAAGGAAGGAAGGAAGGAAGGCCTGGACTGAACACTCACGATACTGTTACTGGAACACTGCCTTAAACGAAGAGGGAGGATAAAGATGGAAGGAAGGCAGAGAGCAAGACTACACTGCAGACACGGGGCAAGGAGCTGGGGGGAAAGAGTCCGTGGTGAGCGACGCTTACCTGCGGGACTGGGATCGCAGCCGCGCAGCTCCGTGCGCCAACGGATGGGGACGGAGCGGGTGGAGCCGCCGAGGGGCTGGGGTGCCCCCTCCCCTCCCTCGGCAAAGGCTAGAAGGGGGGTGCCCTCCCCGTGCCACTTACCACAAGGGCCCGGGTGCTTGACGGGGATGGCGGCCCGCTGGTGGCACTCGGCCTTCTGGCGCTCGCAGTCGTTCGCGTAGGTCCGGCTGTCCCGCCCGCAGAGGGGCCGGTAGGAGCCATCGCAGACGACGCGCTCGCACGAGCAGCGGGCGGCTCCCCGGCGGTTGAGGCACACGCTGTTGAAGCGGCACTCATCCAGGCACTTGTCTGGGGAGGGAGAGGAAGGGTCAGCGGTCGGCAGCGGGCGAGGCCGAGCCCCGGCCGGGGCGGATGTCCGGCCAGTCTTGTTGCCCAGAAACAGGGCAACCTGGGCCAGCAGATGCTTGGCCCTCTTGCCTAAGGCAGCACGGGGCGTTTTCCAGCTGCAAAGTTCCTTTGGGTTGGCACAGATGAACGCAAACTCGCACCGAGTATCGGTTTGGTGTTTTTATCACTGCTTTAGCAACTTTTTTGTTTTTCAGCTGCACTTTGATGCATTTAAGGAGCAAACTTCGGCAGGTTTAAACAGGGGAAAAGCCCACAATGCCGTGCATGTGCCCTTCCAATCTCTCTATAAACCACCAAGATATTTTTTTAAACAGTGAATGGTATATAAACCAGCCAACTGGTCCATTAATGGAGAGGGAAACCTTCTGCCCCCTTAGAGAGCATCAGCTGCTCTGGAGTGCTCTGCGTTCCCAGATCCAGTGCCCTAACCCTGGAACTGGGAACCAGAGTGCCAGACCCTGACCCTGTCGCGGCTGGTGTAGAAGGAAACACCCCAGCGGAGAGCTCCAGTCCCCTTCCTTCCTCCTCTGAGAGGCTTCAGCTGGACGGGCAAAGATGCCCCATACCCGATGGATGTCTCACTCTGCATGGGATGACTGAAAGCCTCCCAGGCAGAGCGTTTATGTCTCCTGCCATAGGATCACACCCTCCCTGTACTGCCTTTAGGGCAGTTTTCAAGATACGGCTCAGTAGCATATCAATCCGTATCCGTATCAATAAGTAAGGCAGGTGCATTCATGGCAGTGGAATGGGAAAGGTGTCCGATCTACGGCCGTCACTGAGAAAGGTGCAGAGATCCAAGACCGCTGCCAGCGAGGACAGGACCCAGCTGGCTTCCTGCAGTGAGGGAGAGGCCTATTGACAGGGGCTCCTCAAAAGCCTTGCCCCAATCCTCTGAGGTCCGTGGGCCACAGGAGCTCTTGGCGCCCCTCCCCATGGCAAAGCATGTGCCTGCATCGTCTCCAGCGGATCAGTGACTGCGTCCGAGCCGCGACTCACTCACCCTGAGGCTGACATGGTCCCGACCGCACCTTCTGGACCTCGATTCCCCGGATGGCCGCTGACCTCACCAGGACGCAGTCGCTCTCGTAGGTGGTCCCATCGTCACCGCACACGAGGTCCCGCTTCAGGGGGCAGCTCTCCGGCCGCGGCAGAAGCTCAGCTCGCCGAGTCCGGGGGTTGACCCGGCAGACTCGGTTCATGTCGTTGTGGGTGCTTTTGCAAGGGTCTCCAAGGGAGAAGGGGAGGAAGAGCGTGCCCGTCAGGAAGAGGCTTCCGTCAGCATCACCTCTTCTGCCCACCCTGAATTTGGCTCCCAGTTGTACCCCCAAAGAGCCGCCTGTGTGAGCATGCCGGGAACCTGGCGTTAGAACGTGCGAAGTGACTGACCCATCGTGTCCAGGAGAGCCTGCTCTGGCCGGCAGCAGCCACCCGCGGTCTCAGAAACGCTCCTTCCCCCTTGCTTGCCGGCTCAGCTTTTTCACTGGGGGCTCCAGGGTCTGAGGCTGGGACCTCCTACCGGGAATGCGCGTGCCCAGCCACCGCACCGTGGCCCTTCCCACACGCACCACCCACGCCTCCATTCCTCACCCGTTCCTTCACTTCCAATAGTTTTCTGCTGCTTGAGCTATTAAAACCCCTAAGTGGCTTGCACTGGAATGCAAGTTAACCATACAGAGATGAGATAAAAATAATTAAAAGTATTACAATGCCACAGCAACGCAACAGGATGACAAGAGAAGCCACGAAAGCCTGCGTGAGCCAGTGTGCTCACCAGGCTCGCTACAAGGAATCCACCCACCGGCAAGAGACGAGACCGTGGCTGCAGGCTGCGATGAGCTGGCGGCTCTCTGGGGGGCAATTCCCAGCATCCCTTGCCACACTGGCTGGGGCTGATGGGAACTGTAGCCCTGGGACACGTGGGGAGCCTCCACATGCCCAGCCCTGGTTTACATATCCCCACACATCAGGAATGCCGGGAATGGGCGTGCATTAACTGAGCAGAGCAGATCAAGACCCCTCGATCGATCGATCGATCGATCGATATGGACGGTTCAGAAAAGCCCGTGTCCCGGGAAACATTGCAAGAAGAAATGCAAAGGCCGATGTGCGTGCAGAGCTGTGACAAAAAAGCAGCCAGAGCGCAGGTGGGGATCAGCGGGCCACGGACTCCCGCCCGGCTAATCCAGGTTTATCCAGATCACCTTCCATTCGCTGCTTGGATGCTCTTACCATAATACTTCAAGACACCAGGCTGTTTATTGGCTAATCCCCGGCTCTGTCTCTCTGCCGGGGTGTTTCTAGTGGCCCGGCTGATAATGCCTGGGAAGAACTGAGTGGCTTCTGCTCCGTTCACAGAGGGGAATACAGAACAATGGGAATGAAAGGGACGTGTCCTTCTGTTTTGTCTTTAATCCTAGCGCTCTGAAATACCTGTAACTCCTAGCTGACCCCTCCCAAGAGGGAGGGGGACCAAAAGCGGGGAGGAGGATTAGCATATCACCATGGAGACTGGAAGAGCCACTATGTATATATTGATGGGGCGGCGGGTGGGGGGAACGGGGACGGCCGCTTCGCCCAGCAGAAGGCACAAGGCACAAGGCAGTCCGGAGAGGAGCACTTCTGCTCCGCTGATGTGTTCGGAAAAGAAAGTGCAGCCGGTGCCCTTGGGAATGGACAGAGCGTCTTCTGCCATGCACTGGCCCGGAGGCCTCTGGCAGGAGGGGAAGAGGCATCCAGGGATGACCTGGGCTTAGTGAACCCAAACCCCGGGCTTAGTGAAGCCCCTTTCCCCAAGCTTTTGGTGCTGGCCCGGCAGCGCTGCCGTTGTTTCCCTCCTGTTCTAAAAGGCAGAGATTTGTGTTGAATTATGCTGGTGTTTTTGGTATTCTGAGTCCATCTATAGGCACTTGCCACCTAGAAAACACCCTGGGCACTTCTCCTTGGCAGATTCTCCTCTCTTGGGCCGGGGCACGGCTGCCGGTCAATGCGAAGTAAGGTTGGGCAACAGAAAGACCGCCCTGTGCCCAAGTCCCTTCAGATGTGACGTCCAAAAGTTCCTCAGGAGCTCGTAACTGCGGCACCCCTGGCCACAGACGAGGAAAGCACCAAGAGAGATGTGGCACGGGCGCCGCAGGCAGAGCCAAGGGGCAGCCCGGAGCCCCCGCAAACTCACCACAGAGCCCGTCGAACTTCTTGAAGATGTTCTCCTGCTTGTCGCAGGCGTGCCTGTTCAGGTGGCACTCGCTGCGGTAATCTTTGCCGTCGCTGCCACACACGTAATTCTCCGCGGCGCCGCTGCAGGAGGACGGGCAGATGCATTTGGCCGACTGCCCGTCTGTGGAACGGGCGCAAGTGCTGCCAAAGCTGCAGGTCACCTCGGCACAAGGGTCCTTCGAACCTGGAGAGGAGGGAGGGAGGAGACCCCGGGTGACGCGCGCGTGAGGCGTCGTCCGCGGGGCGGCCAGGACAGGCGGCCTCCAGGAAGCGGCAGGGAATGCAGCTGGCCCGGGAATGGCGCATCAACGAATGAAATCGGAATAGCGGGGCAGTTTTATGTTGTATTTGGTGGAGGTGCGCTTCAGGGTCAGAGGGACTGCTATGCCTCTAAAAAGCAAGGGGAAGCCACATCTTTCCACCAGGATAGGGTTAGCATGTGTGATGTGATTGGACTCCACTTCCAGCTCCATCTGTATGACCAACAGTCGGGGTGATGGGTGTCCAGCAACATCTGGAAGGCCGGTTTCCCTGCCCAGTCCTCATCTGCTGGGGAGAAGAGCCGCCGGGCAGGAGGAATCTCTTCCAAACGAAAGAGTCGCAGTGTCCCAAGACACTGCCCGCCTTATTGCCAATCTGCTTTGTCCCCTGTCTGCTCCAGCAGAGCAATGCAGGAAAAGAAAGTGGACCGGTGAAGAACCAGACTCGTGGCGGTCTTTAATATTTCTGTACAAGTGAAGGTGTGCCTTCTCCCATCAGCTGTGCAAGTAAATGCCAGGCTTACAGGATCTACGGCGTCCGCCAGCCAGAGCCGGGGCATGGCCACTGCTCTGCGGCAAAGCCAAGCCCCAAAGGGTCGCTCGGGGCAGAGCCCGTTCCCCGTACCCTGTGACCTATCTGTCGGGATGGCCTACAAATTTGAGCAGAACCGCCTGCAACTAGTAGCTGCCAGCTGGGGACTGTGGCAGAGTTCGTTCCAAAAGCCCTTGCCCATTTGCCACCACCGCCTGGGCCTTGGCCAGCAGACTGGAAGCAACTCTTGCTGGGCAAGGCAAGGACAGCCGGTAATTCTGGGGGTGGGGGCAAGCTCCCCAGGAAGGGGTTCCTCATTCGGGTCAGCTGGGCAAGAACGCCTCTCACACCAGCTTTCTGCACTGGTGCCCCACGCGCTGCGAAAGCAGGGGCGCCACGACTGGTCTCGCACACCCAGCCACCCCCCCGCCCCAGATCTGGCCCCAGACACACCCTTTCCTGCCCGTGCCGCAAAGAAGGCCCAGCCCTGCCAGCCCAACCGCCCCGGCACCCAGGTTCAAGCAAGCAAGGGGTGAGCTGGCCCCTGCGTTCTCACTCTGCCGGTAACACGATGATGCTCTTAACATGCCGTGAGCAAAATGTAATTAGAGAGAGACATCAAAAAGCCATTCCCCCTTCGACCAGGATGGGCGGGCGGGCGGGTTATTTATAGGCCCTGCCTGGCTCCCTTTTATTTATTTAATTGTTCTCCCCTTTCATTTGTCACTCCCCCTCCCCGCTCTCCACCCAACCCCCTATTATTATTTTAAATAAATCATTTTGGTGTATCCGCCAGCCCCCCTTCCCCGGCTTCTGCGGAGAGCCCCCAGCAGGAGCGAGGGCGTCTGGATTTATCGCAAGCAGGAGCGCCTCGTCGGGGAAGGGGGAAAGGTCAAGTTAATTTACTCGGAGACACGCGGGCCGGGGGTTTGGTTCGCAGGGCTCTTCGCGTGCAGCGGGTGCGTGCCGTGCCCCCAGCGAGGTTCGTGAGCCTCATGCCCCAGGTCCCTCCACAAACAGCCCGCTCCTGGGCGTGGGCCACTCTCGTGCGCCCGTGTGCCAGGCCCCCTTGCCTCCGAGCCGCTGCTCCGAGCAGCCGGAAGCCACGATCGGAGGCGGGCCTGCCCCAGACAAGGGAGGAGGAGATGGAGCAGGAGGGGTGCACAAGGGTCTCCCAAAGAGGCAGGGCACCCCTTTGTCCTGTTCCCCTCCAGCTGAGCTTCGAGGCGCCAGGCCACGTCCCGGGGCCGCTCCTTCCCGCCGCTGCCCTGGCATTCCCATGCCGCTGCCCTGCCGCCTTCCCGCCCGGCTTCAGCTCTCTCCCCGCCGACATTGACTCCCCTTTCCAGCAAATGCAACTTTCTTCCCCAGCTGAGTTCCCAGAATGAGGAAATGTGTCTGCCGGGCAAGAAGGGGATCTTTCGCTCTCGCTGACCGGGCTGACGGAGGCGAGATGGCAAGGCAGTTCTGAGCCACCGGGCAGGATGAGATCGAAATAACGTTTGCATTTCCTCTGACGGAGGGTTCAAAATGCTCGGCATCCATCAGCAAACGTCTCCTCACCACGCCCCCAAAGGTTTGGTCCGTGTTGCCCCCCGTTATTTCTAGATGATGGGCATCAAGGAGCAAGTCGGCCCCCGATGGCAGGGGCAAGATCGGAGCCACCAGAAGGGGCGACGGGTTCCCCAATTTGATCAGGTGGAGGGTGGGGCATCTACTGGTCAAAATGGAATAGGAAAGGGCTGTGGGGGGGGGGGGACAATATTAGGCCCCTCCAGGCTCTCAGTGCCGCCCTCTCCAGATGGCCAGGCCCACTTCTCCCAGCACCATCCCTTACCACGGGGGCGATTCCCCGACTTTTGTGATCGCCCCTCCAAAATCTTAAAGGTGGGAAGTTAGAGCTTTACGCCATGGAATGTGTGGGTATTTGGCGCTGGCTGCCCCCCTTTGGCCCCGCCCATCAGTGGGTACAGCCTCCTCCTGAAGCGGCATGGGGCCCCAAGGCTGCAAAAGGTTCCCCACCCGCTGACTCAGACGAGGAACCGGGCGCCTCCGCTCACCGCATGCCCCTCTACTGATGACTTTGATCCGGCGTTGCTGGTGGCACTGCGCCTTCTCCAACTCGCACTCGTTGCTGTAGGTGGAATAGTCGGAGCCGCAAACGGGGGCCACCACCGAGGGGCACGTGGTCTTTCTGCACACGCACAGGCCCTGCGAGGAGTCTGTGGGGCTCCGCTCGCACACGGCTCCGAACCCGCAGAGCATCCCTCGGCACACTGCGGGCACAAGGGAAAAGAGAGAGTCAAGCAAGGGAGGCCGCTGGAGTTGGCAGGCAAAGGCTGAAACGCAGAAACAGGGTGAGTCAGACGGGGTCTCCCGGGCCATCTAGTCTGACCTCTGGCACCAGCTGGCTCCGCTCACGACATGCCCACCATGTGCATGTCCAGACTGTCCTTGAACACTCGCACCGATGGGACCCCCCCCACCTCCCGTGGAAGCCCATTCCACGCCCTCGGGGTCCTGACTGTCAGGAAGTGCTTAAATTGAACCTTGAAGAGAAGCCTCAGCCCCCACTTTGGGAATTCAGGCAGCCCAGCTCTGTCCCCCAGGAGTGAGTGTCTGTACCCCTCTCATAGAAGACAGGTTGTGTTGCTTTTTAAAAAAATGCCACTCCCCCCCCCCAACAATGCAGATTGCTGGCATGTGAAAAAGCAAGACTCAAGCCACTCGGCTGCACGGAGCACCCTCAAATTCATCGACACGCCATCATTACAGATTGCAAAGAGGATCGCGGGAGTGTCGGGAGGGAAAAGAGTGGAGGGGTTCGGCTTCCCAATATGAGATGCACCTTCCCGTTTATCAGGCATGCTAATCAGGAAAGCCAGCGCAGACCAGTTTCCCATCTAAATTGCAAATGAGGCAGAGGTAGGCTGTTCTTTTTTACTTTTGGAGGTGGGAGGAACGCCAGGTATGTGAAGTCGAGAAGCACGCACACACGCACAGAAGCGTGTGACTTTTCATGCTGTCTCAAAATAGACACCACGCCGGCCAGACTGCGGGCCTTAGATCTCGGCACTGGGGTACCCGATCCTTCCTCGGCCACAGATGGCGACTCGTTGAGAGCGGTGATCGTTTGCTGTTTCTGCGGCAGGGCAAGCTCCCGCTCTGAAGCCTGCTCAGCTTAATTCCAGCTTAATTGTCCTACTTCAGAAGGGGCCACCTGCAGATGGTAGGCCGTTGCTGCAGCTCTCTCCGTTTACATCCTTTCTTTCAGGAGTCTCTTTCAGCCCCAGTGCAAATTCCAGTTTAGGGGAAGCTCCTGCGTGCCTACACTGCCGGGGGGGGGGGGGGGGGAGCCAAAGAGAAAGGACCAAAGGCTATCGCAGTGGATCCAGATATCAAAAATGTGGGCATCTTTTATCTGGAGGCTCTTGCTGCTGGCGACTAAGTAAAGGTATTCCAAGCCTTTAGCCTGAGGAAGGGCACGGACTGTGCCAAAGCGGGAAAAACACCAAATTACAGAAATGCGGTCAGAAATGTGTGAGTTTCCTGCTTAGGGAAAAAAGATGAGAAGCTCTCTAGTAGGATACTATTTAATAAATCAGTTTAGCTGAACTGTATGGGCTTGACCAGGAGCATGTCGGAAGGGTTATGAAGGTTCAACAGGTGGAGCGGTAAACTTTCCCAGCATACAAAAGCCAGGGTGGTTGATGGAAGCCGTGCCATGACCTGATGCCGCCAGCTTTTAAGAAGAGCACCAGAAGTAATAGCCTTTCCCAATCATTCAATAGATAAAAGCTGCTTTTGCTGTGAGGATGAAACTGTTTCCTTTATTGAAACAGCTTCACATACCCCTGCCATCTCCAAGCAAGGGGAAGCTTATAAAATCTATTTCCTTGCCTACATGGAAAGGATAAAACATCTGGGATTGTTCGGCTTAGAAAAAGGGTGAGAAAGGGAAGTCATGAGAAAGGTGTACACAGTGACGCACAGTCTGAAGAAAGTGGGGGGAGAGAGAGGGGTTTCTTCCTTTCGCATAATACTAGAACTCAGTGAGGTCGTCCCATGAAGCTGATAGGCAGGAGATGCAGAACAGAGGAAAGGGAAGGCTTCTTTACGCAGCGCATGGTAAAACCGCAGAATTCACTTCCGTAAGATGGATTGGTGGCCACCAATTTGGACCGCTCTGGCGGGGGGTCGGAGGCATTCACAGCAAGGGTTCCGATTTACGGTCCTGATGGCGCAACGCTACCTCCACTCTCAGAGGCCTAGAAACACCAGTTGCTGTGGAACATGGCAGGTGGGTGCTGCTGCAGCCCTATTTACCTGTGGGTGTTCATGAGCCACGTTCAGCCATGGCTGGAAGAGAACACGGGGACCTTGGTCTGCCCACCATGGCTTTTCTCTTGCCATGTTGGCTAGCATAATGGGACTTGTGGGCTGACCCATCTGGCAGGGAAGGCTGGTCTACAGTATTGACAGCGGTTCTCAAGAATCATACATTCATAGAATCAGAGAAGAGTCGAGTTGGAAGGGGCCATGAAGGCCATCTAGTCCACCCCCTGCTGTTGCAGGACACCAAGCTACACCACCCCACTCCGAGGGCTGTCCAGTTACACCCCACCTCTTTTCTTTTAAGAACCCAAAGCATCTTGCACCGTTCTTCAAACCCTGCTCCCAATCTTATTCTCACACAACAGCCCTGTGGGGTGGGCTGGGCCGAGAGTCTGTAACTGGCCCAAAGCCACCCAGCTGGCTCCATGGCTGAGCGGGGACGCGAACCCAGAAAGGGGTCCCGAGTCCCCACCCCATGCGCTTAACCACCGCAAACCCGAGGGCACTGCTGCTTTGTCAAACGGGAAGACTTCGCCTTCCCGGCTCTGCACCAGGAAGAGCGGCTGAGAGCGCCTGGTTATCAGTTATGCCTTCAGAAATCATTTGGCTTCATTGCTACTTTTGTGGAGGACCAGTATGCCTGAACCAGCCAGCCATGGATTAGCTGATAACAGTTTTACTGATCTTGTTTTTAAGTTGTTAACGTTTTCTTCCTGGATGTATCTTCTATTGCCCACAGCTCCCAAACCACTATACTGGAACATGAAGTGGCATGTACATCTTGGGATCAAATACAGAAGTTCTGCTGCCTGAACACCTATCCATGATGTTCGACCCTGTGCCTGATTGGCTGGAGCTGGCATTGTACACCAAAAGAATTCCTAGGTTAAGATCTAATATTAGACAACTGTAAAACATTTTGAATCTTTAAAATCCATTGTTTTTAATAAGTCTGCATGCGTTATCAAGTGGATACTCTGTTGGTGGACATTGTGCTTGCCATCTGGGATATGCTTAATTGGGTTTACGTCTTCCTGGTGGATGGAAAGATAGAATAGAAATGTTCAAAATACAGGACTGATGCATATGTAAGGGGGGCAGGATCTGATATATTTGATTATATGTATGTAATATAGAGACCCTAGGTGATAGGGCAGTATAGAAAAGCTCCAAACAAATAAATAAAATATATTTATACAGGACAACACACACAAACACAGAGCACCTAAGAGAAAATGACTGGCCTACATAATAGCAGGAGAGGAAAAAATTAAAAAGTGTGTGGAAAAAAAGAGAGAATATGGTGAGGGGGGTGGAATAAAAGGCTTGCTAGCAGTTCATTTACACTTCAATACACAGGCGCCTGGCTTCATCTGCCTAGAGAGTTTAAGCTCATATGCCGGGCAACAATGCACCACTAAGAGACTAATATCGTCAAATAAAAAAAGAACTCTCTTTCTCTCCTGCCCAATATCTAAAAGCAATTTATCATTTTTATGAAGCTCTGTGGATCGTCTCTTCCCCTACCCCTGCTCTCTCCCTTAAAAGGAAAAAAAAATGCAGACAAATCTTTCTCTCTCTCTTTTTCTCTTTCCTCACAGTGAGATAAGCGGGTGGAGAAGGAGGCGAGAAAAGCAACGGGTGTCTAAAAATGCAGAGAGAGTTGATGATTATTTTTTCCTCTTCCTCCCCCAAACAGCCCTCCCTCCTCCTCCTCCTCCTCCTTTTTCCAGAGCTGAAGTCGTAAAAGTCTGTACTACATTATTGAACTGTCACTCAGCTGGGAAATAGCTGAGACAAGCGTCCACTGAGGAACGGTGCGTGTAGGACGCGGCCGGAGGAAGGGGATCCAACTTTCCCCGGTGGCTTGGGAAGCCGGCATGTCCCTCCTCAGCCTCCACTCGCCATGTGGACACGCCATGCCCTGGACCCACTCAGGCGGCAGGCCAGGTGTCAGGTTGTAGCTTCCCCGCTCTGCATGCAAACAACCCTGTGGTCGGATGGGGAACACTTGGCTCAACAGCACTGAAAAAGAAAAAGGCCTTGGAGCTGTTGCGGACAACAAACCGAAGATGAGCCAGCAGTGTGATGCAGGCGCAAAAGGGGCGAAGGCCATCCGGGATGCATAAGTAGAAGCATCACTTTCAGAACGAGAAAGGAGTTCTGCACTCGCTCCTTTCACTAGCTCCTGACTTTTACTCTGCACTAGTCAGACCTCACCTGGAATTACTGTGTTCTGCTCTGGGCACCCGGGTTTTAGAAAGATGTAGAAAAAGTAGAAAGGGTTCAGACGAGGGCAGCAAAGATGATGCAGCTCTGGAACGAAGCCCTGTGATGAAAGGCTGAGAGCTCAGCCTGTTTAGCCTCAAGAAGAAAAGGCTAGGAGGGGTTCCGGCATTGCTCTACCAGGACCTCAAAGGCTGAAACGAAGAGGAAGCCGGTATCTCTTCTCGCTCATCCCTGGGCGCAGGACATGGAACAACGAACTTCAGCTACGGCACCCCAGATTCAGGGTCGCCACCAGGGAAAAATGACTCGCTGTCAGAGCCATATGGCAGCGGAACCAGTTGCCAGGAGAGGTCATGGGCTCTCCCGCACTAGAGCCGTTCACGGCGAAACGGCAGTCACCCAAGTGGGTTGGTGTAACTTGGCCTCCTGTGCCAGCACTGGGCTGGGCCTGGTGGCCTTTTTGACCCTTCCAACTCTACCATTCTGTGAATCTGTGAAAAACATCTCCCCTTAAAACAGAGGCAGGCGACATCTGGCGGTTTAGAAGTTGCCTCCTGGGCCCCTGCACAGTCCATGGGGGGGCCATGCAGTGCATTGGGGGTCCCCAACCTGGTCTGTCGGCTGCAAAAAATGAGCAGCAGTGCAGAAGGCTACAGCCGTTAAATTTAGCTTGCTCCTGAGCAAAGTGGAAGCCTTTTACTGCTAAAGGGTG